AGTGGACCAAGTCCCTCAGTTTACCCTGGCCTGTATCTCCACTGGTGGACCTACCACTGTCACTTGGACAAGAGACTCCACCACTGTCACCCAAGGAACCCAGACTGTGTTGAATGACCCAGTGACTGCACAGTACACCCACACTCTGAATGTGACTGAGAAACTCTTAGTTATTCTGTGTAGCGAGGGTTATTCTGTGTGTCTGTCTGTCTACGACTATTCTCGCACTATAGGCTTACGAGGCGGCTTATGAGCGATACCAACAGCTTTAGCGGTATATGGGCTAGAAAAATAAAATGCCGATTTTGCTGAAACGACTGCGTTCGAGAGCGACAAACTGGCACGGTCGCGGACAGCGCGCTACCGTTGCGTGGCCCAACCCATCAATAAGCGGTGCGCATGCGTGTATTAGACGCGATCAGCGCAGTATGCTGGCTCACCCCGACCTGATCCGCTTGCTCTGTGTACCTTGGAGGCAAAAGAAGCCACAGCGAAGGGTGTGTATCGACTCCCGCATGCTATCTAAAACTGTAGCTAGCCCGTGACGGTGTCAGACTCTCTGCGAGCTACTAACGGGAGACCGCGAGTAAACGCCAATAGCCCAGCCCAACCATTAGCGGTAGCGCGCATGCACAGTTCGCCGAGGGTTTGCACTTTAGTGCTTTTCATTATTATTGTTGTCGTACACACCAGTAAAGGTGCACACATAAAATGAAAAACAGAAGGAGAGGTAAAGAGATAGAAGAACACAGAGAGTGGACCAGTGGCCGACTGGACTCTGTCCCGTCGCCATCCATGGGCTTAAGGGCTCCTGGACCGGCCACTGGTCCCCTCATCATAATTCTTGCAGAAGTGATACATAAAATAAAATTTACTGACATGAATTCTTAAAATAAGGGACTCAAAGTCTGAAAATAAACCAAAAAGTACTTCGAATACTAATAATTATCAGTATCATGAAAACGTCTAACATGTAAATGACCATAGTGAAAATTATAACCAGTGAAGCAGTTAACAAGATGAGCAGACTCAGTAAATGTGGTATATACTGATGGGATTAGAAGAAGAGAGAGCTTTTACCAGGAAGGATTTTTTAAAACGTTGATATTCGGAGCGCATGCGCAGCGAGGGTTACTGTAGTTGTCGTGTGTGTCTGTCAGTGTCTGTCTGCTATAGTCTGGCGTAGCTGAAATAGGCAGGCTACGCCAGACTATTACATAACATCTCACTTCACGAGCCATGCATGAATCGCTCCACAAACAATACCACGTATTCAGCGTCGGGTATAGGTCAAAACGTATGTAGGATTTTCTCTGAAACTGTTGCGTTCAGGAGTTATGACGTGAAACACGAGCGAAAAAGCAATTGCGAATTAGGAACAGGCTTACCTCGACCGTGTCCGCTTGCTCTGTGTATCTTGAAGGCACAAGAAGTCACTGACAACGAAGGGCGTTTATCGACTCCTGCTTGTTATTTAGTAGTGTAGCTAGCCCGTTACTAACTCTCAGCGACCTGGTAACAGACCATGAGAGTCAGTACAACGCCCAGCCCAAGTAAGCGCGCGCATGGGGGTGTACTTACCGCGTGCACGCCTCAAATCTGTTCACGCATGCGCGAGATATTCCCATAATAATTATTGTTGACATGGCAAATGCACAGTGAAAGATGTGCCTCACTTGGTACCTTGTCTGCAGCCTTTTACAGAAGGCTGTGTAGGTCGGTCTTCCTCAACTTTGCTTACATGCAACCCTTCTCTAGCGAGAGCGCGCGCATCTCCGCCGAGGGTTTGAACTTTGTTTGTTGGAACTGATCCTTTGACTCTCTAGATGGTATTCGACCTATTCTGTACATTTTTCTTCTCTGTATAACGTTTTGCAGCTCCATCCGGCGGGTACTTTATGCGCATGCGTGTTATGCTAACAAGACGCGCGGATAGATGAGCTTGGTCACACTGTCTGTAAGACGGAGCTCCCTTCGTTTCCAGCTTCTTTTAGCCTAGGTGGCTAACAAGCGAAAACCGGTATATAAAGGTAAGCCTTGCAGGGGGTATCGTAACGCAACATACGGCCAACTGAGTATAGCTATAGCAATTAGTGGTAAGAACCAGTGAGACCTATACGCTAATGAGAAGAAATTGCGGGTTGTAGACCGCGATAATGCCGACATCCGGTCTCTGACTTACATACAGCCCTGAAGATCTTCAGCCAGGTCTCTGCTGTATTTAGCTACCTCGGGTATTTTGTTTTCTTGCTGAAAGTCATACGTAACGTTCTACAATTATGGTGGATGTTGTGAAACTTCAAGAGAGTGATTTTTGGAGGAGAAAGTTTCGTAAGGCGGTCATTACACGAGATACAAACAAAAGTGGTTCTTTGAGCAGATATGATTTTGAAGTGATAGTACAAAGGTACAAGAACACCGCTGAATGTCCAACGGAGAAAATGGAAGCTTTTTCGAAAAGCATGTTTTCCTTCTGCGATGAACTCGGTCTTGTTGATGGTAGCATGGAGCAAAGTTATGACGAATTTGAAGGTCGTTGGAAAACCCTGATGGCTCGAGATAATTATGCAATCGTGTTCCAGCATATGTTTACGTGTCTTGATGCTGATGGGGATGGTTTTATTACTTTCAATGAGTGGAATGTTCATAATGCAGCTTTGGGGATCTCACCAGAATCTGCTAAAGAATCCTTCAATTCCATGGATAGGGATGAAGATGGGAAGATAACAATGAATGAATTTGTGGAATATCATTGTGAGTATTTTTTTTCCACTGAGAACAAATTGAACAGTGCTATTCTTTTCGGTCCCCTAATGTAAAACTGACACTGGAGATAGCTAGCAATAAGAATTATTTTTGAGTGCTTTATCAATAATACTTTTTCGCATTTCGCAATGATACACGTAAATCTCGTTTTTTTTCCTCCAACTTACATACCACTGATTGTGTCTGAAAAACGACTTCAACCATACTCTCCCTTGCAGAATATTTATACCCAAGCTGCATACACGAGGAAGGACTTGCATATTATACAAGGCAGCCGGCCCAGTCTGCACCCAGCAGGGCATTCCCAGTTAATTAATTAAATATCCACGCCCTCGAGCTCCGAAGTCAACTTGTTAGCCACACTGTGCATGCGTGCTGAGGATCCTGAGTGTTTAGCTAACCAGGCTCTGGTGAAGTTTCGCACTGGTTCCCATAGAGAATGCATTGAGGTAGAATTTAAAGAGCAATCCTCTTGTCCCCAACTGTTACGAATCATTTCATGTTTACTTATCACCCAATGCTCCGGCATATGATAGCGTCAACAACCAGTTACTTTCAGTGGAATTGTAGGCAATACCCATTCCTCGCATTCTTTGTTATCATTGCCCATGGCTATGACGCCGGCAACACCGGGCCCATGTGAAGCTAGAGCAAAGGCGTCTTCCTCCTGAGTGGACAGCGGGCATATCCTATGGTAAACCCTATTTTGGCCGGGGAGGTTTGTGTGGTTGTTGTGTACACATATAGGGGAGAAGCCATGTTATGCATGTAAATTATGCGGGCCACGGCTTACCTGACCTGCCCTACTCGCTCTCATGCATGCATCGCTTGTATATATCGCTCTCTTCGCCTGGCTGCGCATGCCCACCCGGGACAACGTCATTGTCGTTGTCGTTGCTATTAATAAATATCTTAATTGAGAAATTACGTCACTTTGAGCGTATATAAAAGTAGGCGTGGGATCGAGTCGTCTATACACACACACCGAGAGGCAAGAGGATGGCTGAGGCGCAGGTTGCAGCGGCAAGTAGCGAACAAGTGGCGCTCTCGTGCAATGCTGAGTATGCCACCTACCCGCGAGGGTCCAACCAGGTCTGCTGGGCCACGGCCTCGCTCAAGGCGCCGTTCTACGAGGCCGCTGCGCGTGCTCCTGTCGACATAGTGGCCGTCATCGACAAGAGCGGCTCTATGCGCGGGGCTAAGCTGGACCTCGTCAAGAAGACGCTTCTCTTTGTTGTCGATCAGTGTACGTTTTTGTGCATAATACATCCAGCATGCCATCTTGTATAAATTTATACTGCACACGTGCAGTAAAGGAGTGCGACAGGCTGTCCCTGGTGACCTACGACACCAATGTCTACCTGGACTTCTCCCTCACGTCCATGAGCACGACCAACAAGGACAAGACCAAGATCACCATCTCAAAGCTGCGCGAGGGTTCCTCCACCAACCTCTGTGGAGGCCTTGTCAGAGGTATTTTATGCACCTTTAGTCTGACCATACATGGTAGCGGTTGTTGTTATAAGCTGTTTAGCCATCCATCATACTTTGTAGAGGCCCTTTTGTACATCTGCTGTACACTGGGGATGGAGACTAATCCGGGAACGACACTCAACAGAAAAATGTTGTGTAGACTGATTTGCTATGTAGCTAACTGCACTTATCGAGCATTCATTAGCGTAGGGTTGTTCAGGTCCTAACTCCACATCGTTGGCTAGTGAAGAAAAACATCTTTGAGGTGCCAGTGTCTATCTCTCAGGCTGACATATTATGTGTATGCAGGTATGGAGGAGGTGGTGCAAAGTGCGGGAGAGAGAGCTCAGGTCCAGTCGGTGCTCCTCCTGACTGACGGGCTAGCTAACCAGGGGGTCCGCGATGCAGAGGGTATCCTGGCCAAGATGAGGGAACTTCAGGACCCTCCAGTTCATGGAGATGTGGCTCCAAAGGTGAGGGCATGGCTGTATATACATGGTATATACCCTATTACCATATAGAAATTGAGGAATGTTGGTTTTTGCCCACATATTGTCATTATTGCTTATGTGTAATTAGGCATTCTACAACCTTGGGCTGGAGTTTTGTTCTGCACCTGGCTTCATTAGGTTATGTAAATAGCTAGGCTAGCCTAGCTTGATTAGCATAGCTAAACAAACTGCATTGTGCGCTATGTGGGTCACAGTATACACACCCGCATTGTAAGAATATCCCGCATATTATCATTTTTTTTTGATGCACCTTGGGTATGATACATATTAACAGGGGCCCACTGTATTGTGTTGTGGATTTGAGCTGAGCTGCTGCCTTATCTACACCTCAGTGGGTAGCTTGTGTACAGTGGTTTGAATCCCACCCAGGTCACCCGATTTTCAAGGAGTCCTAGGTGTAGTTGTGTTGTTAGGCTTTGCTTTGTCTTGCGTCCTTACATGCTAAGTTATTTACATTATGTGAGATTCAAGGCAGCAGTGTTATTGATTATTGCCTCTGGCAGTTTCTATGTCCATCTTGCAATGGCCATGCTTTTATACCACCAGAAAATTTAAGGGTACTGTCTACACGTTTGGATTTGGGGTCAGATCACGACTCCAATCTCCTCGAGGCTATCTCCAGTCAAGGAGGCGGAGTCTATTACTTCATTGACAGCACTGATAAGGTAATGCAGCACAGCTCCTGGTTCATAGTGAGCATGTGGTGTGGCTTAACACAAGTGTATGAGTGGGAAGCATGTCTCAGCAACTTGGTAGTGAGGTAGAACGCATGCATAACACGAATATAATGGTGAGCTAAGAGTGAGGAAAGCTCCGACTCAGCGTGCACTTACGTTACTCATATCATGGATGTACAATGATTAACTAACCTGAGGTAACTTGCTGAAGAAAGCCATCTGTGCCGGTGCGTATGCGTTAAATTAGTCGTGGATATAGGGTGAAACCTGCAGTCAGTAGTAACTACTGAAGACTACCTCTCCACATGTCTGTCCTAGTGTAGCTTATTTACTATGAGGCCACCTCAATAGTGTCCAGGCGTGTTTATTATTAACCCTCGGCGCGCATGCGCAGCGAGGGTTACGGTAGTCGTTCTGCGTGTCTGTCTGTCTGTCTGTCTACGACTATTCTCGCACTACAGGCTACGAGGCGGCTTATGAGCGATACCAACAGCTTTAGCGGTACATGGGCTAGAAAATGAAAATGGCGATTTTGCTGAAACGACTGCGTTCGAGAGCGACAAACTGGCACAGTCGCGGACGCGTTGCGTGGCCCAACCCATCAATAAGCGGTGCGCATGCGTATGTGGTATGCTGGCCCACCTCGACCTGATCCACTTGCTTTGTGTACCTTGGTCCGGAGGCACAAGAAGCCACAGCGAATGGTGTGTGTATCGACTCCCGCATGCTATCTACTACCGTAGCTAGCCCGTGTCAGACTCTCTGCGAGCTACTAGCAGGAGACTGCGAGTAAATGCCAATGGCCCAGCCCATCCGTTAGCGGTACCGCGCATACGGAGTTCGCCGAGGGTTTGCACTTTAGTGCTTTTCATGTTTAAGGACCGGGTACTACACTTCCGACCTCACTGGTTTCGGTATGCCACCAACCAATAATCCCCCAGGAGCTCCCAATTCAGCCCTCATGGCTCACAACAATGTGTATATTATACAAGCTATTTAGCTACCAGTTGTAATGCCATGTGCAATGCCCCTCATAAACCTGAGTGCCCTATACTCTACATATGCCATACTTCTCTCAACCACACTCCAGATCCCAGAGTCGTTTGCAGACTGTCTGGGAGGGCTGCTGAGTGTGGTGGGTCAGAACCTGGCCCTCAAGATAGAGGCAGTTGGAGAGACCTCTCTCTCTGCTGTCCACGCCAACCGCCCCGTCCAATGGACCACTGCTAACAATGGTACATTCAACCTGTTAATACTACACTGTTAATTCCACAAATGGGTGGGCCCTGTAACTGAATATACACAACCAGCTCCAATATAGTTAATCGCTGTGTACGTATTTGTTTTTGGGGACATGTTGATGTAAACTCTCTCTCCCATGCACAATGCAGTCGAATGACTTGACTGCTGTAGATTGACTGAATTTGCATTATTTAACCTGTTGTCTTGTCTAAACGTAACGAATGTTTGATTTTCTCATGGGAATTTGAACAGACATAGACGTGTAAACTGGCCCCTCACACTCGGTTGTATATTAATCTCATCTCATTTTTGTTAGCTGTGAGATACAGCTGGGAGACATCCAGTCAGAGGAGGAGAGGGACATAGTCCTCCAACTGAGTCTACCGGCAGTGGAGGCCGACCACGAGGAGCAGGGGCCAGCTATGAGGGCCACTCTCTCCTACTTTGACATCCTCTCCTCCACTCTGGTACCCAACATTACCGCTGAGCTGATGGTGGCCAGGAGAGGTAAGGAACATTGCCAGTATTATGATCTTACATTAGTGTGACGTTTCAGCCGTTTTATAGCTGTAACTCGGTCAGTAGAGCACTTCCTTAGACTGCAAAGTGACGTTGGTTCAATCCCACCCAGGGCAGCGCAGCTCTTCTCTTTTCACTTAGACTGTCCTACATTATGTATGTATGTAGGTGTAGTTGAATTGGTTGGTTTAACTACCTTGTTGTTGACATGTCATGTGTTGACTGTATGTGTATGTGTCCTGCAGATGGTGAGCAGGGTCCAGCCAACACTACTGTGGACCAACAGAGGAACAGAGTTATTGCTGCTGCAGCTCTCAAGGATGCTGACCCTCTGGCTGGGCAAGGTGAGCCACCCCCCCATGACGTACCTTGAGCATTTTAATCTGGGTATAGGGAAGCTGACCGAGGCAAGGAAGGTACTGGGAGATGCTGTTGCTGTTCTGGAAAAGTCGCCCACTGCTACCAGTGACTACTGCAAGGTAGACATAACACTGTTATTGTGTTGCTCGGCAATGTATACAGTAATGGCAGTGATATGCAGTGGGTGATATCTGCTAACCACTTTGCCGTCCAAAGGTTGTTCACAAGAAAGTTGGCAACTAGGTTGGATGTATATATATACATATGCATACCTCGTTTTTGGCGACAGAAGCTATCTACGTACCTAGTGGTGCATGATTTGTCAGAGTCTGGCTGACCCTAGTTTACTGCTGACCAGGTTCCTGTATCTCTTTCAGTCACGAATTCTGCAGCCGATCAGCTTTTTTTCAGCAACTCTCTTGCAAATATGCGTGATTCTGCCCAAAATCGACACACCCCTTTCATCCTGTGGCGATCTTTCTTTCTGCCGTTTTACAGACCTACGCAAAGCCTGCTGAGATATTTATGACATGTCTCACTCAATCCAGACCTTTTTTGCGTTTTTTTAGTACTGAAAGTGTAGATGAAAGCAACATCAAAGCTCCGACCGCCACATCCAAGTGCAGACTGACCACTTTTGAGGATGCGTGGGTAGTTTTCACGAGATAATGCCGCAATGCCACCCACCTAGCGGGTCAAAGTTCACAATTATGCGAGTTTCGTTGATGTTTCTAGAAGTGTGTAATTTTACAACATTTTGTGACCGAAAGGGTTATAAAGCTGCAGTTAGTAATGCAGAACAAAATATCTGAATAATTGGCCTTTACCTATTCAAAGGACAAGATTACGAAGCAGCAGCTGATATTCTCTCCGTCCTTGCCCACAGGCCCTGCAAGAGGATCTTAAGAGGAGTCTTGATTCCTTGAAGTCAGAGGTCCAGTACAAGAGACATGGACACCAGTACATCGTCAGCAAGTAAGGATGTATTAATTGCAGGACTATAATTATACAGCTGATTACATAAGAGGTGCAAAGACAGCTTCACTAGTTGCTGCCATCTGTCGATTGCTATGGGCCTGTGGCTATATAGGGCTTGATAAGTTTATATATACCTGCATGCAATTTATAACATTCTTGCTGTTAGCAGCAGTCCCCATTAGCAGATGGTCTTGTTTGATTTTTATCTCTGGTACGTATAATGATGGTCACCTTGTAATCAGTGTTTGTGTTTAGTGAGTATGTCGCTACTGCCACATTGTAGGATGCAGACCCACTCGGTGCAGAGGTCAAACTATGTGGACGACCATGAGTACTACCAGAATCGATCCAAGTCTGGTTTCCGTGCCCTCTCCAAGAAGTAGCTAGAATAGAGAGAGACCAAGCAATAGTTAGCAACTTTTTTATATACCAATTCAACATTGATGTTTGATGTACTTATGCGCGCTTTGATGCTCTCTACACGAAGAAAATAATTTTGTGAAAATATCGATACCAATTAGCTATTATTCTCAATCCCAGAGTACATCTATAGGAGGGCTGAAGACGCACTATTTTGTCAGATTACGCTAGGGCCTGAACACAAATCGAATGGGGGGAGGCATCGTACTAAAAGTAATTTGCTTTTGGGAAGATCCTAAAAACAACCCTGATGCGCCACGCGCATATTTGCCTCGCGCCTGCCAGCCAATGTCCGACTGAGGCCGCTCGTGCGCTGACTGCGCGCGAAGCCAGCCAGAAATCTGCGTGCACGGCGGAAGCTAGACTTGTTACGAATGACGCGAAAGTTGACATTCCTAAGCGTGACTAATTGACATTCTTAAGCGTGACCGGCACGTACGTACGTGCGCATATCGCGAGAATACAACCGGAGTAGTTGCTCGCGCTATGCGCTCGGCAAGCAGATTTTGACTACAATTGTGCTATATAAGAGGTTCTCTTCAGGTTTTCAGTTTGGGTGCCGGCGCGTCCGCACTAGCTTGCACGCGCATGCGTAGTAGTTACACCGTTCCTGTCGTCTGTGTAACCACAACCACACGTACGCTAGGATATCGCACCTCTCAGGCGACAGTGTCGACAGAGCCGAACTTAAGTGAAAGGCTGTCTAAGAGAGAGAGATAGAGAGAGAGAGAGAATAATCTGGTCACCGATACAATCCTTTGGTATGGCTAAAAACCTACATTACTTACGTCACTTCGCCAATTGTATTAGCTAAGACGCGGATCTAAACAGGTCTGGCCCTGATCATGATCCATCTTGGCGGCAAACGGTGGTTATAAAGTAAAGGTTTGATAGCACTGGCCTGAAGAATGCTGGTAGATTTTCGTCAGCTTATTTCTGCTACCGTCTCGTTGATAGCATTTTTTCTAAGGCTTTTTGCCCTATTAAACTTTGCTTATAAACAATAAAACAAAGATATAAGGATGGTGTCATGTAGCTTTGTGCAACTTTGCTGTGTAATGACCCCTTGTTTCTTCCTTTTTGGTGCTTCAGCCTTCAAGCCATCCCTATATCCCTGTTTGAAATGGTTTTTCCACTTGTTTCCACTATTTTTAACAGCTTGTAACAACACTGCATTTATTGTTACAGTCACTCTGATGTGATGTTAATGGGTGTGTTGTAGATAGGCTAACATAGACAAATTGAAAGTAGAGCTAATGGGGCTGCTATAGTGCCTGAAGCAGGGGCTAGTTACCGCATTCACCTCATGTATTGTCTTCAACAAGATGTAATTAGATTATTGCACATGGTTGTGGTTTCATGGGCAGGCTTTGATAATCAGGCTACAACCGAAACAATGAAGGCCCATTTGGCCCATTTGACTCAGCGCCCCCCAAGGCTCGCGTAACACCGCACAGATTCTGCTCTTCGTGCAAATCAACAGCAAGGTAGCCAGTTGGAAATGTGCACACTTACTTACAGAAGGTACTGGAGGCTGAAAGTTCCTCTGCAGGGTCCGCCAACTCGCCTGGTAATGCGCTCGCAAGCGCATTGGACAACGCCCCTGCCTGGCGCATGCGCGCGGCTCACCGATGCGGAGTTAGCAGCAAATGGCGTTGTTCAGTGTCGACCATGGAAGAGCTCCATGATCCACCGTAGTGACTAGCGGCAAGAAAGAAACGATCGACCATTATTTTTTCTCAATCACAGAGTGCCATCTATAGGAGGGCTGAAGACAAATTATTAATATTAATTAGGCTATATATATATATATATATATATAGGACCCAAACACTGCTCAACAGGTTTTGACGAGGTTCGTTTCGGGGTTTTGAAAAGCTTGTGTATAGGCCTTTTACATTCGCGCGCCTCGGCAATAGCTTGCAAGCGCATGCGTAGCTAGTACATCAATCCTGCACGTATATATACTGTTACCACGCTAGGATATCGCACCCATCAGGCGACAGTGCCGACAGCGCCGAACTAGAGTGAATTCGAAAAGGCTTTCTACGAGAGAGAGACAGAGAGAGAGACACTAATCTGGTCACCTAATCCTTGGGTATGGCTAAACCTACAATTACATTACTTATTACTTACTGGTCACTTTCGCCAATCGCGTTGCAATAGCTCAGACGCGGATGACACTTTAGTCTAGACTGGGTCTGGCCCCGATCATGATCCATCTTCGCGGCAAACGGTGGTTATAAAGTAAAGTTTGAATAGCACTGCCCTGAAGAATGCTGGTAGACTTTCATCAGTTTTTTCCTACTACCATCTAGCTAGTTTATAACCATTACTTCTAAGGCGTTTTGGCCTGTTTTAGGCTGTGACTTATGTCTTCTGAGAACAAACTCTTCATAGCAGAATTATCGGTGTGTGTCTTTCTCTTATAGAATCTACTGCTGGATTTTGCACTATAATATACTAGTCTCCAACAGAGGTGTGAATTGGTGTTTAAATGTAATTCCTGTCATGTCATGCATGTTGTGACACACTAGGCTACAGTAGGGCCATCACTGTACTGAGCTTCTCCCATCAACACCTACAACAGACATGTTGATTGACATAACCTAACATAACGTAAGAATGGTGGCAGGGTTTTGAGGGCTCCCACACCACACCTTTTAGCCAGCAGGGACGATGGCAGCTATACAGTCATAGGCTCAATCAATGTCCAGCACCGTCAGAATACATTGCTACATGCAAGCTTTTGAAGATCGGGTTTTGGCACTTTGCTATACTGGCATCTGATCAAAAGGAGAAGCCAAGGCTCTAAACCATGACAAAGTGGAAGACTAAGTGGCGAGCGGGAGCGAGCCGTATGAATGGCTGATTTTTGGTTTAGCTATAATATGGATATCATATAGTACGATAGATAATGTATATGTATCCGACATTGTCACCATACTGCAATCCTCTTTTACGCATTCGGAAAGCACATCAGACTCCTAAAACTTCCCATTTGCACAGGCCCATTTGGTTTTATGGACTGATGGCACGTCCGCTCTTTGTGTATGTCTGCTATGTGACGATCAAAGTAAGCAATGCCTAGTAGTCTTTTGTGTTCACACTATACTACACACGGATGGTTTTGTGTTAGCTTTGAACTACGCGCTTAGGAGCGTGCTCACCAGAGGGGTAATCCACTCTGTTTGCTGCAAGTGGGGCCTTACTGAGGTTTACTGATAGCACGAAGATCCCATCCCTACTGGTTTGAAAACTAAGTCCAGTGTACAACTACCGTGTCCTGCAACTAGAGGTGCATTTGGATGCACTCATGGTAATGAAATGATCTATGCATGCAGCGTTCGGGTGACTTCACGCTCACGTTGCCAAAATTTGTTGCGATTATTCTACTACTATGTTCATTTTTCTGTAATGTGAGTCGATATAATTTCTCTACACTGCAGGTGTTGAGGCATGTCCAGTTACATTGATTGCCTACTTCTGACCAAAAGGCGAGCCTCCTCTCAAGGGAGAGTAGATGACATATCCAAGACACCTCGTCGTGACAGCTCCACTGCAACTGAGATATCATCGTCTCATGTAGAACGTTTCTCCTAAGCAGGAGGAAGGAGAGAGAGATTATTCAGTTTTCACCATGGGTTCGTAAAAGCATAGGGAAATCATTTGCATGTGAAATGTTGTTGTGACCATAACAACCACTCACATGAAGAGCACTAAAGTGCAGATGTAAGTCTGCTGAAATTTCACACTTGGGTTCGCATGCCCGAAAACATTAGTTTATGGCCATTTCAGCAATCAGCTTCTGCTTAGAACTGACCATCGAGTACCAACTTTTTATTCTTCTCTCTGTACCATTCAAGCTGGCTGATGGATAATGGTTGAACATCTAGACGGACCACATTATGCAACCCTTCTTCCCTTTAGGGGCATGTACAATATGTGTGCTCACTGCATGTGTGTGTTACATCCTCTGCAGGAGAACCAGATATCAGTCATAGTCCGGTGGCCACATCGAAACAGAATCCAGTACTTTTGGTGACTCGAAAGCAGTGGCTACATGTATCTCAGTTAATAGTGAAGAAGGATCAGAGAAAACGGTTCCAATCTACTGTGGGGATCGTCCTATACCAGAATGTATGACTCAAACATCCACCCTGTATGACTGCACTAATAAGGGAATGAGGTATGTTGATGAGACCAATGACTTTATTTTGGAGATCCCAGAGGGAGCCATTCCTGAAGGAGAGAGACTCACAGTTGATATGGGAGTGGCTCTCTTTGGCCCATTCCAGTTCCCAGAAGGTCTCAGACCCGTGTCTCCTGTGTTGTGGGTCTGTGTTCGTGACAATAGGAGAAAATTCGAGTTCTCGAAACCAGTCACAGTCACTATCCCTCACTTCCTTCATCTTGACAATGAGGAGGAAATCAAATTTCTGGGTCTCACTTTCCTTAAAGCAAACCACAACAAAAACTCTGCGGGACTGTATGAATTCCAGCCATTAGCAGAGGGCGAAATGGACTTTAACACTCTCAGAACACATGGCATTCTTAGAACCTCACATTTTTGCAGTCTCTGTCTTGCTGCAAAATTCATCCCAAACAGTACACAGTTTTGCATCACATCTGTTCTTCCACGTTGTACAAGTCCGGTGGGTAAGAATGTCGGGGGTTGTTTCTTTGTTACCTTTCTCAATCTGAAGACCTGTCTCGAAAACCTTGACTCTCTTATTAATAAAAGGTATAGAGAGGGGTATAAGACACAGAGGGTGCCTTTTAGGTTCAAAACTGACACCCAAGATCCTGCACTTGGGATGAACTTTTCTCAACCAAAACATGGTCTAATTGGATGGAAAGGAAGGGACAGGGTAAATTTTAACATTTCATTCACAGTGTTTATTGAACGTTTACCTAAAATGCAGGTTTTTCGTAGCGAAGTGGATTTCTTTGTTAAGGACGATATTTCTGAGGGGGAACTACAGTGTCTGCAGAGTGACGAGTTTTACCCTCCGCGATTTGAAGTGTTCTTTGCCTTTTTCAAGGAGAACACAACACTCGATGATGGCCAGATTACCTTCAGTGGAGCCACTAGTGGCATCAAGTTCAACTTAGACTTGGACCTTCCTGACTTTACAAGTCCTCCTGTAGCCCATCCTGCAGGTATATACATTATTAAGCTATACAGCCCCGGATTTAACAACATTCTTTTATAGCTGAAACCGAGGTTGTATCACAGATTGAGCTCAAGCTGCTTGGTATGTGGCATTTTAGAGTGTGTATCCATGTTTCCAAACAACACATATTCTTTACAGTCATAGATGATCTCCAGGATGTTAGGTCAAAGCTCATGGAAGTAGAAACGAAGTGGAGGGATATTGGACTAGAACTGGGGCTGAGAGACCCTGAGTTGGAGACGATACGTCAAGCTAACCATCATGACATCACAAGTTGTTTGACTGCCATGCTGAGGCTCTGGCTAAATAGGGCTTACAACACCATTAAATATGAAGAGCCAACATGGCGAAGACTGAGTGAGGCTGTTCGCCATAGAGCTGGAGGAAACAATCCTGCCCTAGCTGATATCCTGTACTAATGCTCGTATTATACAACTGCAATGAGTCGACGCAAGCGCGCCCCCGGTTAATGAGCCACTACTTTTGTACGAACCAGACCCTCACGTGCTCCTTGCATTTTAACCCTTGCGATACGTTGCAAGGTAGCTAAGGATGACAGTGACATGGCTCAGCAGGTGAGGCTGGGTGCCTTGGAAGATGTGCATGGGGTGTGTGTGTATAGATAAAAACATTTGATTACAAAGTTATGCTGCTCACCAAGCACAGAATTGTTGGCAAGCGGGAGCGACCCAACCTGGGATTTGCCCACGATGTTCGGGCTGCATAACGTGCTTTCTATATATAGATCAACCCAACCTTCTCCAAAGTTGTTCAAGCACCGGCAGGAAGAAATAATGCAAGTGGAGAAGGCTTGTTGCAGTGTTGGATGCAGTGCTACAGAAAGTTTTTGCCACCCTTGATATGGAGCTTGTTCACTTACAAAGAGAAACACTAACCAACCATCACTGTTCCGTCAAGTTGCACTTGATGATAATAATTACAAGTGGAAAAATCATTTCTTCAAAATGAAAGGGGGATATAGGGATGGCTTGAAGCACCAAAAAGGAAGAAACAAGGGGTCATTACACAGCAAAGTTGCACAAAGCTACATGACACCATCCCTATATCTTTGTTTTATTGTTATAAGCAAGGTTTCCCTTGAGCTAAGTATGCATGCAAGACAACCTCTATTGCAGAGCCGTATAACAACAAAGATATAGGGATGGTGTCATGTAGCTTTGTGCAACTTTGCTGTGTAATGACCCCTTGTTTCTTCCTTTTTGGTGCTTCAAGCCATCCCTATATCCCCCTTTCATTTTGAAGAAATGATTTTTCCACTTGTTTCCACTATTTTTAAGAGCTTATGATAACACTGCATTTTTATTGTTACAGTCACTCTGATGTAGCTATGTTGTAGATAGGCTACCATGACAAATTGTAACTGTTGAAAGTAGTAGCTAATGGGGCTGCTAGTGCCTGAAGCAGGGGCTAGATACCGTATTCACCTCATGTATTGTCTTCAACAAGGATGAACTTAGATTATTGCATGGTTGTGGTTTCATTGACAGGCTTTGGTAATCAGGCAAACAAGGCGTAACACCGCGCAGACTCTGGCAAGTTGCTCTTCGTGCAAATCAACAGCAAGATAGCCAGTTGGAAATACTTACAGAAGGTACTGGAGGCTGAGAGTTCCTCTGCAGGTCTGCCAACTCGCTCGCCTGGTAATACGCTCGCTAGCGCATTGGACAACGCCCATGCCTGGCGCATGCGCGCGGCTCACTGATGCTTAGTAAGCAGCAAATGGCGTTATTCAGGTCGACCATGGAAGAGCTCCATGATATACCCTAGTGACTAGCAGCAAGAAAGAAACGATCGCTTGATGTCCGTGCACACCTCCAGCGAAATTGAAGACCTTCGGTGAAAAAAATAGTGCTTGAACTGGTACTGGTAAGGAGATAGCGGGTTTTTAAAGAAGAAGAAGAAGAAGAATATGATGACACAAAAATCGTGAAAACGCGTATGAGCGAATTCTCGCGTGGACGACTGAAGGTGCGTATGAGCTCTTGGAGGACATGTATAGGTAGATATGGGCCCGTAGACTATTGCTAGTATGCTTTGAAGGCCTAGGGAGTGATTCTCACGGAGTTTTTAGTCGTTATGTACGCGGATCACGTGAGATTTCACCCGCGTCATCCCTATATAGAGAGTCTACCGACTCTCTAATTGTACAATTCAGGTGGTGTGTGATTGCATAGACGAAAATATAGCACCCAGGACTCTCCAGTTGGTGTCAGCTTTAGCAAATGTGACGACTGTAACCAGAGAAAAGGTTGAGATGCACACTTTCCTGGAATCTGTTGATTGTGATAAGAATTCCGAAATCTGTTGCATTCAACCACTACTTTTTTCCAATACTATTTGTTGTGAAACAACGATTAATTATTAATTCTGGTCTATACACTATAATTGTAGGCTTAACCACGTGGATGCACATATCAGATCTGCTGTAACTGAATCAAGCACCGCATTTTAAGTAGCTACCCATCAGTTCTTGAATCAAGGAAGGCATTCAAATCAAGTTCTTGGAGACAATGCGTTTACTCGCTAGTAGCTGACACGGGCTATATACTTACAGTAGTAGATAGCATGCGGGAGTCGATACACGCCATTCGTTGTGACTTCCTGAGCCCCTAAGGTACAGAGGAGCGAGGTAAGCCCAGTGCTAGAATTGGCTTTATCGCTTGTTAACCCTCGGCGCGCATGCGCAGCGAGGGTTACGGTAGTTGTTTGTCTGTCTGTCTGTGTGTCGACGCTTATTCTGGCACTACAGGCTACGAGGCGGTCCATTAGTGATACCAGCGGATTCAGAACTACGGGAGCCTGAAAAATTATTAGGCGATTTTCCGGAAACGACTTCGTTCGAGAGATATGCCGTGAAAACAAGCGAAAAAGCCAATATGCATGGACTTACCGCGACCTGACGCTCGCTCTGTGTACCTTGGGGGCTCAGGAAGTCACAACCAATGGCATGTCATGCTATCTACTACTGTAGCTAGCCCGTGTCTGACTCTCTGCGGGCTACTAGCGGAAGACCACCGCATACGAATAGCCGGCCCAGCACATCAATTTGGCAGTATCGCGCATGCGCAGTTCGCCGAGGGTTTGCACTTTAATTTCACGGCATAATTATCTCTCGAACGCAGTCGTTTCAGGAAAATCGCCCTTATTTTTCCAGGCTCACGTAGTTCTGAAGCCGCTGGTATCACTAATGGGCCGCCTCGTAGCCTGTAGTGTCAGAATAAGCGTCGACACACACACACAGAGACCATAGATAATATAGCTATGCAGAGACGACACTACAGACACCGTAACCCTCGCTGCGCATGCGCGCCGAGGGTTAATAATAATTTTCCTCTTCTTTCAGGAGCTACACCTTAAATGCCTCTCCCCTTAGCTACGCAAGCAGCACAGAACAGATACGCATTCTCAAACCACTTAGCGATTATGTAAAGACAGAGCTTTTATAACCTTTTTAGCTACTACAAGAATATTTTTGTGTGATGTGGTTCATAGAGATGACATTGGTCACATTCAGAGGACATTGTATTGCCTGACCTTTCCACGCTATCAGCAGCCCTGCGACAATAATTGCAGGAACACAGCAGGTTTAGTAACTGTTGGTGTATAATTTTCCAGTGCTTGCAGTAGCCCAGTATAAATATAACAGTAGTGAACAGGGAACCTGGCCTTTGGTTGTTTCCACCTTCCTCCGTTTTTCAAGCCATTAAGAAATCTCACAGAATATGCAACTGGTGGATGAAGTCAGAGATAGCTAACCCTCTAAAGAGAGATCCACTACGTGTGTAGCTGTGTGTCCAAAGAAATGCAATGAACATGATGATGCACACAGTCACTCGCAACATTACGGAAAAGTTTCTTACAGCAAACATAGAGTAAGAACGTGAGAGGCTTTTACTGCTGCAACTTTGAGCCTCTTGGACAATACAGCTCAGTATCTTACAGCACCGCCGCCCTAGGTTAATGCACTGTGTACTCTCAAAACCTCTCATCCAAAAGTACAAAGACATTATACAGTGTTCACATGGACTATGAAGTAGGAAGTCATTTCAGGAGTACAGAGATGACGGCGTGTACATTGAGGGTGCGGAGGTCAGTGTACGTCTGACCTGTCCCCACAAACACTATCGGCTGCCCCGTGATGTACGTCATGGAGATTGCAGCTCCCACCTGCGCAACAGAGGGGACGGGAGGGGAGGGGTTAAAGTAAGAAGTTCAGGTCTGGATGTTTGCAGGTCTCCATGTGTTTTTGTATGCACAAGGCTCTGCTTTATTCTCCATTTCACTTCCTATATACCGCCTCTTCAGAGAGGGTGCTGGAACAGTGCACACTCGGCACTATTCAAATGTACCTATGTAGTGTTATGCCCACATAATCACCACTGGCCTAAACTGTACTCATGTGTGGCGCTACCAGCCTTGCATATGACTACGCTAGTATCTCTTTCTTGACTCGTATCTTTTCCTGACATAACTGAGTCTGACAAAGCTGACAAATCTCCACGTGCATAAACAATAAGTTAGTACAGAGTCTGATGCACATCTCAAATGTATGGGCATAATGCAAGACAACCTATTATACTAAGTACTACCTATACTAAGTATATACTACCGTACTTAGTGATACTTAAACCAAAAGCCCACTCAGTGTGTCTGTTAGTGAACACACCTTGTCGTCGACGGTGTCAAACTTGGTGAGGAGGATTCCGTCGATGGTGCGAGGACAGCCCTCCTCGGAGTGGTCCACCAGAGCCTGGTTGAAGTGGAGGAGCTGGTCCACTGCCTCGTTACCCACCAGAGCCTCGCCCACAAACAACACCAGGTCCGGGGAGTTGACTCGGATCAACTGGGGAGGAGGGGAGCCACGATAAGAGAAACAGGGAGGGAGGGAGAGAAGGAGGAAAGAGGGAAAATGTAAAATTGTACAATCTTCTGTTTTGCCACCAACACAGTACCCATCATCAGCACACACTGGTCCAACAGACCTTGGCAAGAGCCCTCATGAGAGGCTCGTTGTTCTGCATTCTCCCAGCGGTGTCCACCAGGACCACGTCAAACGACTGCTGCCTGGCGTACTGGATGGCCTCCATGGCTATGTTGGCTGCGTCCTTATCATACCCCCTCTCATATAGCGTCACCTGGAGACAGGGGGATGGGAGATAAAGACAAATGGAAGGAAAGAAAACAGTGTATATAAGGACGACAAAAAGAATTAAGGGAAATATGAGCCAAAACACTCCCAAAGCTTGTCTTCTCCAATCTCTCTAGGAAGGGGAATAGAACGTCAAATACCTCAAAACCATACAAAAAACTCAACCCTACAATTATTGGGAAAAACTACAGAGAACGAAATCCCTCTCCTGAGAGGTGACATACACACTATGGGAGGGGTATGTTGTATATGGTGTACCATGGGAGGGTGTCCCTCCTGAGGAGGGTGGAGGGAGTTGAGGTGTTTGGTGTGAGTCCTCAGTTGCTCCACTGCCCCGGCTCTGAATGTGTCACACCCGGCGATCAGGACCCTCAGCCCGTTCTCCATAAGCCAGAAACACACCTGTGCAGTAGTCATCAAACAGAGACAGACAGCTGACCACATTTTGTTAAGGACGCCATTGAATGGTAAGTGCAGTGACAATCATAGAAAAGACTAGACACCCTATATACAAGCAGACCAGATTTAACAACATTTGCGGATGCATTTGCTATTAACCACATCACTCCATGCTGGTTCTTTAGGGTCTTACTTTAATTTCGACTGAAAAACTCAATGTGCAACGAGTCAATACAACTAAAACCACACTACTACAGCTATCATAGAAACAACTAGGACATCTCCTAGACCCAACCTTGGCGAGGTTGGTAGACTTTCCGACTCCATTCACGCCACAGAAGGTGATGACGTAAGGTTGACCTTTGTCCCTGGCGGCCATGACGTCTCTCAGAATGTCGACTCTTCTCTTGGGACTCAGTATCTGGACCAGACTGTCCTCCATGCTGCTCTTCACAAGACTCTGGATACCTGGGGAAGAGGGGGGGTCACGGGGGCAAAGATAGTTGGAGAAATTAGATTTACACACCACTCAATAAACATTTTTCTAAAGTCATTGATTTCTTGTACAGTGCAGTCTTACATCCATTACCACATGTAACACTATAAGCTGTATAAAGGTAGTCATGCACTTATGTAAAAGAGAGCAATTAAAACATTTGAGTATTCTTTTAACCTTCTTACATTTTGAGCTATTGCGCTATACACGTATACTGTGAGTCATTTTCAAACATGCTACACAAGAGCCACAGAATAACAGGTTGTGAGAGCTCTCTCTCTGAACTAACCAGTGAACGATCCGACGACTTTCCCGTCCAGTTTAGTGGCGACAGAGCCGCAGAGCTTCTCGGCAATCTCGACAGCCACGTTCTTTGTGATGAGGTGCTCCTTCATCTTGTCCAGAGCTGGGTCCATTGCCTGTCGGGTGATGGTCTTACCTCCTGTCAGGTTCTTGAAGAAAGAGAACATCCCACCACTGAGAATGAGGAGGGGGGAGAATGGAAAAAGAGAGTGACTGGCATTCTTCCTGTTTCGTAATTATTTTGCTGTACCTATAATATACATTTCGCCTCAATTTCACATCCCCATCTCGACTCTACAATCACATATGTAGTACCTCTTGGTCTTGTTCTTGCTGGGTGTGGGGGAGGTCGGAGGTGAAGGGTTAGAGTCCAGTTCTTGTAGCTCTCCTTTCATCATACCCACCATTGACCTCTGTACAGAGACACACACAAAGGAATTACACGATATACAAAGCACCTAATAAGAAATTTGCTAATGGATAAATTTGCTAATGGCAGCGTATTTTCAGCCAGCGAACATGGCATGCAAAACGTAACAGCTCACACCACGCAGAGAAAGAAAAAAGGAAGATGACATGTAGGGCTTCTGTAGGACCTCATATGCACAAAATGATTGCAAGATTTCAGCAGTTCTGTGAGTGAGAGAGTCTCTAGTAGGCCCAGCAGCCAGGGGCCTATAGTACACATACATGTATGGAGACACATACTACTATGGAGACTACTTACATTACTATGGAGACACATACATCACTATGGAGACTACTTACATTACTATGGAGACACATACATCACTATGGAGACTGCTTACATCGATGTCTCCATTAGTGGCGGAGGCCCCGGATGCCTCAGAAGAAGGACTGGAGTAGTTGAGAGCCTGGGCCTCAGAGGAAGAGACTGCCCCGCCCTCCCACCTCCTCTGCTCCTTCACCTTCTTCCCTGGCTTCGGGGAGGACTTGGCTCTGTGAGAGGGAGAGAGGGGGTTAAAGTTACGTACGGCAAAGAGGTATACATGTAGGTTCACATTGGGAGTATGTCTGTTTGATTCTCTCAAAAAAACTTTTGTATGTACGCATTATCATTCCTCACACTTAGGCTAGGGTTTGCATTACCCCGTCGTGCCGTGCTGCGTTGCGTCCATGGATTCTATCCTTGCAACACGGCACAGTGCGACGAAGCAATGCAAAGTATTGTGCACCTAGCCTTAGTCTCATTTTTAGCAGATCGAGAGGCAATTTGTAAAACACCAACTCCATTTTTACGCAAGCAAACTAAAATCTGAACAGCAAAGTTGAACTCACGCGTTCTTCTTCCCCTTGTCTGCTCCACCTCTCCCTCGGCTGGCTCCCCTGGCAACCAGCCCTCTCTTCAGCAGTCTGGATATTCCCGATCCACTTGGTTTGACAGTCTCAGGCTTAGCCACGTCTTCTTCCTCTCCCTCTTCCTCCTCCTCCTCCTCTTCCTCCTCCTCTTCTTCCTCAGCTTCAGCTGTTCCATTGTTGGTTGTAGTTGCTTTACCAGCCTCTGTACCTTTCGAGGATCTGTGCGCAAAGTGAGACAACAGTACCTTAGCCTTCATTTTTCTAACCTCTCTTTCTCTCATTCCTCTCTCCCCCTCTCTCTTCTCTCTCTCCTCCTCCCCCTCCTCTCTCTCTCTCTTCTCTCCTCTCCTCTCTCTCTCCCCTCTCTCCTCCCCCTTCTCTCTCTCTTCTCTCTTCTCTCTCCTCCCCCTCCTCTCTCCCTTAACTCACTTTCCTCCGGTACTTGCCACCTTGTCAGCTTTTTTTGACCTTCCAAAGATTTTCATTTTCTTTGGTTTAATGGACAGAAGACGATGTTCATTCTCCACTTCACTCAGCAGTCTCTGCACAGACAGACAGACAGTCATGGAGGTACATACATAGGGAGAGAGAGAGAGTTGTACAGGGTTAGAAATCAGCCATAGCAAGTCTGTGACGTCTGTGTGGCTTGGGGGCCATTCTAACAAAGACATTCCTAAAGTACCAAAGGAATGGTTACAAGTTGTCTTAGGGAATCTTTTCAAACCAAACTCTAATTAATGCACAATAGTTTCCAACTTGTCACTGGAGAAAAGGTAGCAACTATAATCACCTCTCTTGGCACGGGCCAGCTGAAAGAGCCATTACCTCGAATTCCTGGGTGAAGTCAAAATGGTGTCCGTAGGCCTTGCCCGCCACCTCGTTCTTGTAGCGATCTCTGAAGACAAGGTTGACCTGGTCCAGCAGTTTGTCGACGTAGGCCAGCTTCAGTATGTTCTGGTATACCACCTGTTTGGGGTAGAGGAGGGAGAGGAAGAGAGGCTGAGGTATATAGAGATTATCATTTTACACTACACTATCCAGACACCAATGTGACAGTGAGGTGACAGGTTAAAGAACTGGTATAAGGTATTAGAGAGGTGTCCTCATTTCAGGAGTGTTCTGAACTTCCATGAAGGGGAAGTTACCTCTCTCTCTCCACATCCTTCCCTTCTCTGAACAAACTCACAAAATGGACTTCAAAACTCCATGTGATAGCCAAACCATAGCCACACACACACACATGGACAGTGGAGAATGACTTACGACATAGATGATCTCCAGTTCATTGTCCATCTTGAACTGGAGGGTGAGGTTGCCATGGTTGTAGGAGTTGGCCCCACCCCTCTCCTGCACACACAACAACACACACCATCACAAATCAAGACCACAGCAAAGGAGTTTACTGGGTACTGTGTGTATACAATACCCATGCCTTCATACACACAGGCACCACAAAAGCCTACTTAGTACCCAGTATCTCCACTTCCTCCTAGTGGCAACCCTTCTCTTACGCCGAGACGAACTTCCTCCATCTCTCCCCACTCACCTGGAGGATTACGGAGCGGATGAGAGAGTTTACGGCCGGAGTGTGGGACAGAGCCTGCCCCTGGAAATACCAGAGGACGATGCCACCCTTCGTGAAGATGGAGAACCAGTCTAACATTTCTCCACTCTCGCTCTCTCAGTGACGTAATCGTTTTTGGTTCTAAACGGAGCGCACCTCTCGTGTAGAGAAGCCCGCGCCCGCGAAGTATGTGGTTGGCACGGTTTCACGGCCCACTGGGCAGGAATGCTGACTGGAAGTTGATACTAGAGGGCCAGTGGCAGAGATCCGACGGCGTTCTGAACCGGCTGCAACCGTGCAACACAGCTGGCGACCTAGGTACACTGGAGTTGAGTGGACACTGGTAGTAGCTAGCAGACTTTTGTAGTAAAAACTGAGGAAGAAAGGGTTCTGGCGACCTAAGTACCGTTCTGCTGTATACACAGAGGCCGGCGCACGTAGTTGAAATGCCGGCAAAACTCTTGGCATGGTTACAACTATTGAGTCCAGAACTTAGAATCGAATATAGTTATGTGCAGTTGTTATTTTCACTTCTAACAGGGCTTCTGCTCCAAGTGATCCCAGCAGCTGACCATACGACTGTATACTGTTACAACACCTGATAATATGGCTGTCAGCCCCACCCTCTCAGTCCTCACTGGTAAAAACTAGTAAACTCCTCCCCCTTCACCTTTCCCCTTGTCCCCCAGCTCTGCTCTCTCCCACCACCCTCCCCTCGGATGCCACGCCCACCACGGAGGACCCCCTCCAGCGACATTTCTCGGCGATTGTGGGGGTGCCAGTGGGGATAGGGCTGGCCATCCTCATCCTGAGCTCCTGCGCCCTCTATCTCTTCCTCTCTGCCTACATCAAACATCGCCGGGAGGAGAGAGAGCAGGCCACCAACACCACCAACGTCGTGAGCATATTTCACTCACACCATCTCTTGCACCCTCGTATCTGTCTGTCTGTCTGTCTGTCGTTCTATGGACATATGGCAATGGCCCCCAGCTATAGTATTCATCACTAGAGGAAGTGTGGCTGGGTGGTGATGAGTCACTAGGAGAAGAGGGTGTGTCATTACTGTTGCAGTGTGTGGAAGAGAAGAACACAAATTTGAAGAGACTGTGGCTGTCAAAGAAATTCAAAAGAGACATAATAATATTATTATCAAGTAATATTGTGTGGGTGTAATGATTGTTTGACTGATTGAAAACAATAATTAGTTGTGTCATGCCTTGTCTTGATGAAAAGCAAAGCAGTACATAGATGTGTCAAAAACATTAACAAAAAATTATTCATGACCATGCCACATTCGTCACTGATCTATTGTACGTGATTTTTAATAATCACAAGTAATACTCCACAATCTAAATAACATACACACATACATTACTTCAATACAATACACAGCTACAGACTGTATGGAGTGTTTCAAGATGACAGTAGAATGTTAGTGTGTGGCTGGAGGTTGTAGGGAGGGAGGGGGAGAGGATGAGGGAGACAGAGGAGGAGAGGGGAAGGAGGGAGGGAGAATACGAGGAAAATTTGTTAATAGATAATAACTATTATCATAAAGAATATACAGACAAGAAAACACTATGATGCAATTCTGTGTGAGGTCTTAATAATAATAGTGTACCTTCCAAAACCTCAACATAAGATGAAGGAAAGATTCCTTTCTGGTCTCCTAGGTAACCCTGGAACCAGTTATCGTCAATCTTCTTTGTAATAGCAATGATGTCACCCTGAATAATGAAACGTAACATTATTATCTGTGTATGATCATATTGGACTAAGGAAGGGAAGGCAGAGTGCAACGAGTAGAAAATAAGTTCTTTCTACCAACGAAGGTATAGTATTGTACCACGCTAGATCAGATACACATACACACAACCACACCTAGTTACTGATGTTAGCGTGTCTCCCTATCGGTTCAGGCTATCACTGCCAACATCACATAACAAAACAGCGCCTACGCGACGCACACTACATACGGTACTGACTGAGAGATTCGCTATAGACTGATGCCGGGCTAGTAGTTTGATATCACGAAAAGTATTTGACACATCAAGAACATGAAAGGCAGTAGAGAGATCAACAGAGAGGGAGTGTGTACCTTTCTGAAAGGAAGTTCTCTGTCAGTCTGAGGGTGGAAGTCGTAGGAGGCCCTGGCCTGCATCAGAGGAGCCTTCTCTTTAGCCAGAGCCTCTCTCAGCTCCTCGTGACTCAACACCTGAGGACATTATAGTAGAGTTTGTTTATCAGGGAAGGAAAACACACTAATGGGGACGAAACAGAAGCACAATGGATTAATTCACATGTACTGAAATTGCATAGCAGTTCCTATATGAAGACTCGAAACTGCAGTTGTGAATATATCAGCTGTGTATAGGTAAGAGATGTATTGTGAAAGAGCAACTGCTGTGGAACCTCTGAACAAGGGACACTATGGGGCCAATGGTTTTGTCACTTGTAGAGAAGTCATCCCTATCTCAGAGGCACTGACGTGTATTAGCATGGGGGAGAGATAGTTCTTAAGTTGGAGGGACCCTTATCGGAGGTTCAACTGTAATCGTATGTTTCCAAAGGGCAGAGTTAAGTTTGTATCAGTGGACAGCTAACTACTAACCTACCTGGACGTAGGAGGAAGGGAAGATGCCTTTAGTCTGCCCCAACATTCCCTCCAGCCAGTCCCCATTGACCGTGTGGAGGAGATCGATGACGGCTCCCTTCTGGAAACTCAGCTCCTTCTCTTTCCGACCTTCAAATGGAAACAGAGCCCTCGCCTTCTTCCCCGGGGGAGGCTGAGGAGAAGGAGAGAGAATGAGTAGTGAGTGAAGAAAGTTGTCTGAATGTGGGGTACATCTCTATGATGACAGGCGGTTGACACACAGTTGTGATTCTAAATACGCATGAAAAATTAATTGCTAAACCACGCACGAAACTTGACTGCTCGTGCTCGCTCACCAACTCATTAAACGTCAACGTCAATGTATGGGTATGATGTTCCACACTATAATGTCGCATGAAAAAAATAAGTGTTGTCTATTGCATGCCATAAATAGACCCATCATATTACCCCTACATTGAAGTTAAATTTTGTCGTTATGTTGGCCTTCACGAGACCATAATTATTCTATGGAGTGCAGGATAATGAATACCAGTTTCTCCGGTTCTATGGACTCCTCTCTCTGTTGGGGATGTAGTGGCAGCATGTGAGATGGAACTCCCTCTTGCTGTGGGTTAGGGAGCGAGGGAAGGTAAAGTAAGTGGGACCTATAATGTACAGTGGTCTATGGGGCTAGGTTCCATGGGTGTGTTTGTAGTATGCTACTAAATGGTAGTGGGTGACAAGGAGGACCTACTTCCATGGTGGTCAGAGTCTTGGCATGTTCCAGAGCTCCTGCCAGTTTCTGAGGGTCCATTCTGTCAAACACCTCACCTCTGGCAGATGGTCCCGTGGTCTGACCTGGAAAGAATAGAGGACGCAGTGTTAGCCGTTTCAAATTATGCTACTTAAGTTTCCACATCAGTGGCCTATTGTTCTTGTAAGTTCAATTAAACAACACTACCAAAATATGTGAAATGAGGAATAGCAAAGATGCACGTGGAGCAGTTAGTTTCCTGTAGCTATTATTTCCCTGAACTCTCATATATTCCCACATAATACTTGGCTGTAGATCAAATAATAGTCGCAAAGGGAGGTAAAGGGTCCATTGAAGAAATTACAGGGCAGATATAAGGAAGAACACTAGCTACCAAGTTCTAGAGCATTCAGAACAGGCGGGAATAGGGGCATTGTGTGTGTGTGTGTTTGCACTCACACATCCTCCAGTCCTTCAGTGAGGAGAGGGTGCATGTGAGCCATCCTCTGCTGCGGGGAAGTCCCTTCACTTTTGGCACGGTGATTAGGAGACGGCTCCTCACTGTTGGCACAGTGATTATTTCCCTCGTCTTCCTATGTTTATCATGAACACACCACAATTATCGTGAGTTTCACTTAAACTTTTTAATGGCCTACAAAAATCTCGTGTCGCCATATAGCTACACATCCATGGGGAGCCTGCTAATTCGCAGCATGAACTGTTTGCAAAACTTATCCTGGTTTCATTCAAAAGCTTTTATTCAGCTACATAATTATACAAGGCTAATGCACAGCACCACTGGAAATGTAACCTGCAGGCTTAAGCTTAAACTAGAGCCTACACAGCTCATTCCCCTTGCGAATATGTTAATCATAGAGAAGGTTGCAAAACTGAAAACTGATGACCCTTTCCAAAGTAGCCAGTCTTCAAGTGTTGTTGTTTTGTCTAACAACTTGACATATGCACCAGTATACTAGGCTTACTAACTAACTTTCTAGTGTACACTAACAATGGGGGAATAGAGTCAGACACCGTAGTATTGTACCTGCTGCAGTTCAGGCTCTCTCTTCTTTCTCTGATCTTCTGCAAACTGCTGGTCTATGGCACTCCAGTCTATATTATAAACAGACACGAGTACAATATTTCTTTCACTGAATTAGATCAACCGCACATACCAGGAAATTCCTTCTACCTTATAAGGCATTTGTTGTTGTAAAAGGTGAATGACCCTGTTAGTGTGGAATGTCATTGTCATAGCTACCCCGATTAACATGCCACCTGGCACACACCTATGCATTTGCATGTCAAATCAAATGTCATGACGTGTTGGCATAATAATGGTACTCATTGTCAGCACAAAGAATTTCCCACAATTTTCAACTAAGAATTAGTGTTAAACTGAATATCACACCATACAAGAACTGCATAAACAAATATTAGTCCAGTGGTTATGCAAATTATGTGCTATTGTATGCCAAGAGTGTGGGTTACACATGTATGTACCTAACAGCAGGCAGAATACTGTTTAGAATACAAAGCAGATGATGTCAGTGAAACAGTGCACCAAAGAAAGTAGTGGTGTAGCCACTAATTTCCTTTACCACTATATTTTTGTACGCACACCTCATGAATGGCAACTGAAACTCCGTAGTGGCTCGGACAGTGTCAATATTGTAAACAATGGAGGCTGTAAGAAAGTGGTTGTGTTTGCTCACATGTTCTGGAAGGTTCCGTGGAGAACTTGTCACTCTTGTAGGCCGTGGGCTTCTTGACTGCATCAATGACACCACCTTTTGTCACCTCCTCTGCAATGTAGCAGAGGGAATAGAGAGAGGTTGTTTACACTGACAATGAGACCATTATGAATAGAAGCCAATCAAAACAATACAAGCAAACCTATAGACAGCATACAAGGCCCTCGTAGCATGCCTTTATCACCATACATTAGCAAGAATAGAATTTGAGTTATGAATGTTTAATTTCCACTCGTTGTGGCAAAGTTAAGCGGAAGAACACAAGTGTGTATTATCTTGATCATTACGTCAGTACAATAGAGTCCTGTACAACACAGAAGGCAATTGGTAACCATTCACACATTTTGAGATAAAGAGCTTGCCCCCCAGATGGGACTCAAACCCACGGCAATGAACTAGTAGAGTGCGAGCTCTACAAACTGAGCTACCACCAAAGCAGCTCAGCATGAGGAGGCAGGGCTGTCAATGAAAATGCTCTGTGTTGGACAGCTTAACCAGGTAATTTAGACACACGTGCACCATTGCTTATCGCTGTATATTGGGTACATTATACTACATACCTAACTTACGTAGTTGTTAAGAATGAGTGTTCACATTTCTTATTTATACTCACCTCCAGCAATAGTGGTTGGAGAGGTGTCATCGTGGTCAGTGTCTCCGTTCCCCTGAGAGCCCTCTCTCAGTCTCAGACCTCTGTCATCGTACCCACTGTCCATGGAGTGCTGTCTGCGACTGGCGGCCAACACATCTGCTGTGGTTACTGTATTATACGGTGAGTGAGTGATGGAGGGAGGAGGAGAAGGGGTGAGAGAGGGGTCAGAAAAAGTAAACGTCACAGTTGTGGCACGCTAGGTTTTTGGGATTCTCTTCCACATCAGCAAACAAGACACAATGCAAATTACACTGGGATACTATACATAAGAATGGTATTCTGAATTGCATTTTTATTTCACACAGGAAGAAACAGGAAGATGAGTGGGACATGACTTTGTCTCTTTGATTGTTCTTGTAGTGATGGCAGCACGACAATGAAAGTTACACTGGGAATATAATTATTCTGAACCTCCTGTTCAAATGTACACGCAGGAAGAAGATGTGCGAAATGTAGCTTTGTCTCTTTGATTTTTTAACGAGACATGTGTATGTACCTTCTTCCTGCAGGTCCGTGACGGTGGTGGGTGTGGTCTCGGAGTTATGGGCAGTGAGAGAGTCTTTTCTGACCCTCAGTCCTCTGTGGTCATACACATACACTGGATCTGGGGGGGCTGGAGAGAGGGGGTAGGAAGATGTCATGATACATACACTGGATCTAAGGGGATGGGCATGTCTGGAGAAAAGCTGGATAGTTGGTAGGGTACAAATGATGGCAGTGACAATAGTTGGATTATATATAGGTGTTCAATAGGAAAAAGCAACAAATTATACAAGGACCAGTGGTGGCAGTGAATTATAGTTTGAAGTTGGTAGCTACTAGATATGTACTAGAGGTGTACCAGTGGTGGTGGCAGTGTTGTTGTTGGAGAGAGATCTGGTATGGATTGGAGACACTGGGGAAGAGGAGGAGAAGGAGGATTTGCGAACCTTCAGACCTCTGTTGTCATAGACATACGTGTCCATATCTGCTGGAGCTGCACGGAAGAAAGAGGATGACTAGTTAATGAAGTTAACTGCCAGATCCACTCGCAAAGTATACATTACAGTGAAAAGAGGAGACATTCTTTAATCAGAAGTGACACTTATTCGGGGGCAAAATGATACTAATATATTAGTATTGGGTAGGAAAATGTGTCCTTCCCAGAGAGGTGTCCTTTCCACCTTCTCAAGGGTAACAGGTGGCAAATTGCTAAATTCTATGCCGCCCGCATATCCAGTAGCAATCACTGAAAACTGTAGTTGCCACAGTTCTAATAGTGTATGCTACTTACTGGATATGGTACGAGAATGTTGAGCATCGCTCTGACCTGCAGTCATGATACAAGGAATGCGAATGAAATTGCTCATCTCACATACACACATGCTTATGCAGTCATATAATTTGTATACGTGTGTGCCCTACAAAACCATACTGTGCAAAGTGATAAAACATATCGAAAGTGTTTGAAGAAAGATTTTGCAGTGAATGTAGAGCTTGCCAATATTTCAGTATGTTATCAACAAACATATGCAGTGAGAAAGAGGTTAAAGATGAGTGTGAGGACTGACTGTCGGGGAAGAGTTCCTCCACAGTTTGCTGGAACCCCTGGAACATGTCTTTGTACCAGCCTGGGAGTCGGTAGGCCATCTTGACGTCCTTCATTGTCCTGTCTGGTACAGTGGCTGAAGAGGAGAGCAAGCAGGGAGGGATAGATAGATAGAGGCGCTGAAATGCCATTTTGCAAAGTCCAACTTGATGACTATGTAGCTACGTACACTAGTGGTTTTCGTTGGTATTAAACATAATTAGTCGTGGTTTACACACTTGATCACACCCTCTTTCCAAAGTCTAGTCAATAGAACATTCAACAAGTGCAAACAAACCTTGTGGGGTCGGTTTCTCTTCTCCCTTCTTCACCAGATAAGGCTTTACGACGGGGACCCCCTCCCTCTTCCCCTCCAGAGGGTCCCTCCGATTGACCCCCAGGGAGGTGGTGGGAGAGAGAGGGACTCGGTGGGGGGATTTTGGCCCCGCGGTCACGGGGGGTCGAGTTGGTTTAGTCACGGAGGCTGAGGGGGGAAGAGGAGGTTTGGAGATGGGAGCTGAGGCCGGACGAGAGGGTTTGAACCGGACAAGTGATCCCAGTTTTCCCGTGAGAAGAGATGTGGCTCTAGCCTTCATCTCTGCTTCTCTAGCCTTGCGGGCCTCTGAGGGAGAGAGAAAGGGGTAGGAGGGAGACGAATAAGAAGGTACGGAGGGAGGAAGAGAGGAATAAGTACAGAATCTTGGAACAAGCAAAATACTGTTGTAATCATGGATAGGTTTCTGCACATTTCAGAGTCATTTCTTGACATAGAAAAAGAGGGAGACCACTCACTTGTCCGAGAAAAGCTCGAGAAACGTATATACCAGATGTCTAGTTGCTAAACATTCTGCGGAGGAATGTGTAATTCTCCGGATACGGGACGCTTGCCGAATAACTGTACAGTCTAGGCCAGCGATCTACCAACTACAGTAAGCTATCAGGGCCACTCGGCAGGTATGTAGGGGTTCAAATCTCCAATAAACTACTGAACAAGACAATGGCCAACATAAAACAACTGCGCTACTCATGTGTGTACGTACATGAATAAGGAAAGATTAGTAAGGAGCAGAAGTAAGGAGGAAGTATTTAATCAACCAGTTGCACACAATTGGGTTTCAATGGCTCGTTAATGAGGCAGCCCACACTGACCTTCAAGTTGTTTGTCGATGCTTGTCTGTGGCTTGTGCTGCCCCGATGAGGGATCTACTGCACTCGGCAACTCATTACCAGCAGCAGTTAATCCACGCTCCTTCTCTTCGTCTTTCTGCTCATCCTCCTTCTCTTCATTCTTTTCTTCCTCCTTTTCTTCATTCCTTTCTTCCTCTACTTTTGTCTCTTCTTCACGTCCACCAGCAGCCATCGTCGGCTCCTTCTTTTCCACTGCTTCATTCTTTACTGAGGGTTCTGCTGTATCAGTGGCAGTGTTAGTGATATCCGGAGTACCAGTGGACACGTTAGAAGTGTCAACTTGATCGGCAGGGTTAGCGGAAGCTGTATCAGTGGTGTCAATTTGATCAGTGGTTGATTCAGAAGAATCAGTAGGGTTAGCAGTGGCTGTGTCAGTGGTGTCAATTTGATCAGTGGTTGAGTTAGCAGAAACTTGTTTGGTGAAAGATTTAGTGGAATTAGTCTTATCAACAGTGATGTCAACCTGATCAGCAGAAGTGTCAAAGTGATCAAGAGTCACGTTAGCAGTTTCAACTGGATCAGTCATCGCTTTGGCAGTGTCAACAGGATCAACGGTGGTGCTAGCGTAAACGGGAGGTTCAGTATAAACGGCTGTAGTATCGTCAGAATCAAAACTTTAGGTCAGCGATCGCTGTAGATCCAGTGGGAGAGATGATTGGGATGATGTCATCTAATTCAACTCTCGTGTTAGCAGGGATCACGGTTGTGTTGGCGGTGTCAGCTGGAATCATGGCCGTGTCAGTAGTGTCATCAGGAATCAAAGCTGTTTCTGCGGTGTTAGGAATCATATCTGCTGTGTTGACAGAAATCACAGTTGCGTCAGCTGTATCAGCAGGAATCGCGGTGACATGGTTGGCCAACTGATCTCGAGTGGGCTCTGTCTTTGCAGGAGGTGGGGGGTGGCGAGTGGGAGAAACTAGCAGGGGGCCCCCCTCGGGATGGGGAGGGGGGCTAGAAGCAGCAGAGCTGATTGAACTGCTCACTCCACTGCTGCTGTTACCAATGTCTCCCCGGTACTGTACAGGGGGAAGAGAGAGGTCTTCTGTGATGACTGGAAGACATTGCGAGCCACGCGAGGCGTCAAAGTTGCACCTTTTTCTTATCTTCTCTACCCCAGTGTGCTTTAGGCTAGGTGCACAATACGTGGCATTTCCCCATCGCATCGCACCAACAAACAGAACTGGAAATGGGATTCTGGATTCTATCCTTGAGCACCTTGGCTCAACAGGGCAATGCGATCCTTACACAGTACCAATCTGAAACATGCACATGCAGTATATTGCAACTCGCAAAGCTTCACTCAACCATCTAAAATAGCACAAGCCGTGGTCCTCTACCCTCATAGTACTAATCCTACTGAACGTAAAACACATTCTGTTGACTAGTGTATAGATAAGAGTCCCCCAAAACTCACATTGACTGGAGGTCTTGGTCGACCGCTGGGCAGTGTGTCACTCTTACCCCTAGTCGGGGTCGTTGCCACGGCGGCAGGGGGCGGAGGACGCCTGAGAGAGAGGGTTTTCGCAGACGTTGAGGAAGGGGAGGGAGCTATGTGGGTGGAGCTCCTGGGGGAGGTGAAAGAGGAGGTTCTCGGGCGTGGCTGGGCGGAGGGGGAGGTAAAGGAAGAGGCTCGTGGGCGTGAGGGGTGGGAGGAGGGGGAGGGGGAGCGCGGGGAGGTGAAGGAGAAGTGTGGGGAAGGCTTGTTGCCTGGCGGGGAGAAGAGGCCAACTGGCGGGGTCTTTGTGCTGAGGGGGAGGGAGGAGAGAGTGGAAAACAATGAGGAAAAATCTTTTAAAATTGAAGAAAAGATTCATAGATCATGGTGCCAGATTTTTTACAACCGCATAACTCCCGAAAAAATTTAGCAAGTCACGCAACAAGCATGCTGGTCAACTGTTGGCTGAAGTACTTTTTTCCAATTGGGGTAATACTGTTGGTTAAATTTCCACACACAGACACACAGAGTTCATACACATTCCTCCACCCACTCATGTCTGACGCACGCACAAGAGGTCTACTCCATGAGACCACCCACTGGCACTGCCTTACCTCCCAGTTGTGGCAACTGAGACACAAACCTAGACAATCACGATCTACTCAACACTGTTTCTTCACAGGGATCTAGTCATATGTACCTGCATATCTATTACTATGCCATTAGGCGAGCTAGCAATATTTGCCTATTACATTACCAGTTTACCTAACACAAGTGGGCAGTGTCTCACTACTCTCAAAGGTACTTATAGTGATCCCCTACTTTCAGGTTGAATACAATTCAAACACTCTATATACAATCAGCAAGCATGGTCAAGATTACTACTCTCTTCTTACATGAAGTAATGCAAAATTACTTCACCAGGCAACGTAGCTAGTCCGCATTGTATAGCTAGCTCAAAACTATTACACTATACAGCTGCATAATTTGTGTGACTTTTTTACAATATTATTATGACTGCTTTACTTTGGCTAATTGAACAGAAGGCAATGTGACTGCAGAAATCACAGACTTGGCTCGTATATTCATTCCCACAGAGATGCTAACTAATCACAGAATTGTAAACATACTCCATCTAGTTCTGTGTTGAACAAAACTGACTTGGCAGATGCGAGATATCCTGTTCCGAATTCCTGACCTGCCATACATCAAACAAATGCCTGTACGCATGGTAAATACACAGCCAAGTGCCAACCATCACTCTTTTGAAAATTGTAGTTGGACACTAACAGAGTATATGCCCCTTTATCCTTAGAGACCCCCCTACCACATCTTATACAACATGAACAGTGAACTACTTATTACAGGAGCTATATAATTATGTATTATATAGAACAATGATTTCTGCATGGGTGGCCAAAACAATACTCGAAGACACAGCTATATAGTGTACCCAGTGCCTCCCACAGCATTAGTCTTACGTTGGAACCTTTCCCATGAAATGAAAAGAACAAGGGTGTGAGTAGAGATGACATTTTCTTGTAGTATAGCCTAGTTGGCCAGAGAGTGGTCTATACACCTCCTACTGTATACTACAAATTCCTTTACACCTCTTCATATTCTCTCATAGTTACCCACAGAATGTGTCACCTACTTACATATCACCCTCCAACTCCACCCTACTAGTAGGTAAGAGACCTTTAAAAGTGTTGTGCAGCATGCATCACCTACTCACGTGGCTATCACCACATTCCTTCCCAGTGTGTAGAGGAAGGGCGCTGGCTAGTGAGCCTGCATAGACGCATGTCTCACATTAGGACCAGGTCTTTGAGCCATTAACTGCAGCCCACTGAGTGTACGTACTGCCATCAGTGACCTCACCTTACTGCTACCATTCATTGCATTCCCATTTCTTTAACAGCACGCACCAATTTCAACAATTCCAAGTAAAGTATATGCGTAAGTGCAGATGTTCTATGTGGTCATGCATGTGTTTCCATGTTTCGTGTGTGTGTGCTTGTTACAAGGTGGATGCTGTGATTGTTCCTTCTTTCTTTCCCATTTCACTAGTGTGCTATACATCATGATACACACAGATACTCATATCAACAAAACTCCCTATCATAGCCCATACATCTATGATGCTAGGTACCATGGCCATCCCTATAGACTAGGTACTATATACCGTACATCCCTATAATATACTAAGTACGTACTACGGTACTTAGTGATCATTAATGTGACTGGTATGCAAGGGAAGAGGTAGGGGAATGATTCCAGGTAGGAATGTTCCTAGCAAGCTTCTGTGCACATTCTCTCAGTCGTACATTTCTACAAGTCTCAGGTGCTGCCACATGCAGGACACCTGCAACAGTCTGGTCCACCTGAAACTGCCATTCATTCCACCTCATCATGCTTCTTGTACCTCTAATCTCTCCCCATTACCAGCTAACTATAACTACTACACCTTGTGTGTCTGTGTCCACACCCCCACAAATGACCAGTCTTCATCACGCAGCATGCCACAGTTCACAGACTCCTCTCGGGGCATTCCAAGGTTTAATTGCCACTACTAGCATTCCTTGCCTCATTACCTCGTGGCATGCGCCTGACATTCCTAGGAGACTGAGGAATGTGTGCTCAAGACCACCTGATGATATTTGCTCTTCCCTATTTCAACCCCATGTCATGTAGTATTGATAATAAGTTGCCAGATACACTTGCCAGTGTGTAATGATTCCGTTTACATACAAATATAATAAGGCGTAGGTTTCAAAGCCTCTAACCTACTGGTGCACAAAATACTCATATAAGCCACTAGTATAAATCTGAGACACAAATGTGGTAGAAATGCCATTTCACACGCTTACTTTCCGTACACTCAGGCCTCGGTACCACCAATAATAGAAGAGCCCATATAATTATTATAGTTTCTACGTATACCAGTGCTCCGATAACACTGTATACCTTAAAAATTGATATTCAAAGTTCACGTTGAAATTAATTCACGTACGTACGTACACAGCCTGAGGATGCTTGTTCTATGACCCAGGTAATTAGGTATAATTGCCCCAGCAGACACTCGTGACACACACACACACACACATTCTGCTGAACATCATGCCTTGGCACCTAGTACCCACTGCATCCTCCTTTTACTCTGATATGAGATTGTCTGCTATGCCAATCATGTCTCTTTGTAATGACGGAGCAATAGTGACTGGGCCATCTAGTTTCTACGCTCAAGCACAGTGCAAACGCTCGGTGCAACTTAAATTGTGCATGACTCAGTATACACGCATTGCAGGAACACTCAATGCAATGACAATACCATCCAACAGTTTTGTCCATCATTACCACACATTATATACCCTTGAGTATTAATGGGCTTGGTATGAATGTAGGCATCAGGTTGCTAGTAGCCGTGTAATCAAATTATGCTGTATTTTTTTAGCCGAGCCTGGGGCCAAACTGCAGTTTGTTTACACCGCCCCGGTTGTCGTAGAGACGGGAAAACACTGGCATTGTGGACAGGGCTCTGTCCAAGTCTCCACGACGACACAGCTGACTGGCAGGTTCCTTCGAGGATCTGGCAAGTTACTTTGCTGAACCTAGCCCATGAACATGTCTCTCCTTTGAGCTCCATGTCACCAAACACACCCACACGTTTATGGACCTGACACTTGTCCTTATATTCAACCGGCAGGCTCAGATTTTCCTGGGCTTCACCGCTTGATATGCAATGACTTGCCTTGAGTCTACAGCCAGTGATTAATGCATCCACCATGGAGTCGGGGGCGTTTTTGATGGTTCAATTTGCTCCTTGAACTGACGGTTGTCTGTGCCGCTGTAAAAGTTTTTCATCGATTTTGAGGACTGCCTAGAGCATGCACTGTGCCTGAAGACTGGAGTATTGTGGGTTGGAGTCCCATGCACCCAAGGAAGCTCATATATACTTCTTTGAAAAAGTGTTGTTCAGTGTTGTGTGTGATGTGCTGTGTGAACACCCTCTGCCTGACATGCAGCATCAGTCATAGTCTCAGGTGAAGTATAGCGTTAGCTATAGACCATGAACAATGTACGTACATAGTCATCAATATCTCAGTCAGTCAATCGTTCACATAAAACATTCACATAGTCCAAACTTCCTTACCACTGAAATCACATTCACTCTTTCTCCACTGCTAATGTGATTAATGTGTATTATTTAATGACCAATTTCATTGTGATTAACATTCTTGAAAATTAGTCTAATCAATACACAAAAGGGCAAATGAAACTCAAAGAATTTAGTCAGCAATAAATTTCCGCAACTAGCTACGTATATAGCAGCTGAGTGACAAACCTTGGAGCCAATCACACTGAGACCTCCAGTACATACATACGCATGGTATAATGAAAGGGTTAATGTGAAATTGGCTCCGTGCCTGTATTCCTTCTCAGTTAGACTACCAAATTTAGTCGGGAACCTTGCTAAAACATCCCAGCCCCCTAACAAATCTAGTAAAACTCTAACAAATCTAGTAAACCGTCTCTCTGCAACAATCAACATTCTCAGTATGTAGTGAGGCAGTTTCAGGAAAGCTCTACTACATTATGAGGTCTGTGCTAAGTTTCTTTGCAACATTCAATATTGTATATGTTCACTAACATCTAGGTTCATTTACAGGGAATGTGTCAGTGCATAAGGGCTAACTTTACTAAAGATATATACCCCAGTGCAAGAATGCAATTAAGTTTCTGTTTTTAGTAAATTTAGCACTTATTGATCTCCTGTTCAACCGTTGTTCAAATGTGACTCCACATTCCATAAATGGCTGGCTTGTTTTGGCCATATATACCAGCTTTGTCTATTAATAGCAACGATGCGGCAAAAATAGCCACCACAAAGCATTGTTTGCATGCCAGAGCACAATAAACGGGACATGTTTCTCATTAACATTCCAACCTTTCACTGCCCCATCCAATGTGTTACCTCCGACATACATGACAAGCTGCGTATGGTTACAGTTTTATGGCAAGGATTGCAAATCTCCATGCAATGTCAATAGCAAGGAAGATAGGGAAAAACTCACATTTTCAGCACAATATGCTACCTAACAATTCATTCACTATTCAAACTAACAGGATTATTCCCCATCATTGTAGTACCAGGTCCTACACACACACGTAGTAGTGGGGAGGGTGCTTACCACAGCAACTGCAGAGTGGAGCTGGAATTGATGATCAGTTGCTTGGCATCCAGATGCTTTAACCCCTGCACCTCTGTATTGTTGATAGAGGTGATGTAATCTCCTGGTATTAGACCAGACCTCTCTGCCTTGCCTCCTGGTGTTACCTGTGTGTGTGTGCATGTGTGTGTGTGTGTGTGTGAGGGAAGAAAGAGAGAGAAAGCCAGGGAGTAATGGAGAGAGAGAGAAAGAGGCTATTGTTGTAATGTTGGCAGGTCACAGACATGTCTATGGGAACAGGGTGGTTCATTCTTTGGTCTAAGTCATAAACGGTTGTGGCTGTGTCGATGGGCAGGCAACTAATGTATGGAGACTCTATTGCTAGGCTCCATTGCCCACTGAAATGTGAAGAATTTCCCAAAACAGCCACACCACTCAATGGGATCGCAGAGTAGAGGCTGACACCATCACAGACTATCTTCTATACCCATGACTGAGGTTACTATGAGCAGTCAATGGTGGAGACAGTAGGAAAAATAACCAGATGCAAGCATAGCCACTGTGTCTGTGTTATACTATAGTCTTCATCATACATACTGCATGTGTGCGTGTGTGTGTGTGTGTGTGTTTTCTGCCAGACACACACACGATGCAGTGTGGTGATGCCATTCCATATTCCAGGAATAAGAAGTCACGTTAATTGAGGAAACACTGAAATATGGCCATGAACTCTTGCACATGCATATTCCTAACTCACCCCTACACACAAACATCACAGACTGGTAATATTATTTTTAATGCAACCCGTTTTTGGTGATTAAATGGTCAAAATTTCAGGTGATTGTGAAATGCTATAAAGCATTAGACAAACAATTACCATTGCCTTACTAGCCAAAATAACAGATACCACAAGTTCTTTTTATCCTTGCCTCGTTGCCTAGGCTCTCCCAAGAAACATTGCCATAGTGACTTGCACATACTCTTTGAGAATGCAGCTAGAGTGGCTGGAAACAAGGCTAACGTGGTGCTAATGCACAGTCCAGATATCTGTGTCTTAACCTGCACTAAAGAGCAAGATAGAACTGTCTCGAATAACGGAGCAAATTGGTCATTATTAGGTAATTGGGACTATGGCGTATCATGTTGACAAACTATTGCCAGACGATAGCTACTGAGAACTTACTCCATACAGGTCATGTTTCGAAATTATACACAGAAACACAATAAGAGGTTAATGATGATACGTATCAATCAACAAGAACTATTTAAAAAATATGAAGTAGCTAGTTTGTATTCACAAGACAGTCCCACGTGTTTGTTCAGGATGATCTTGGCTGTGGAATACTCAGAATTGTTGTCAGCAGTTCGTTTTTGCTCTTCTAAAGTTATGGGCTAGTATAATTATTGGACCGTTGGAGTCGAACGTATTACTTTCAGAGAAAAAGTGCGGTTGGTATAGACGACAGCGAATGTAGTTAATGTACCTGGCCCAAAGTGATAATTTAGATTGATCTACATAACTATCTAACTACACGCACACATGATTCGAAGACAGCTCTGTTCTCATTTGTTCCCTGTATACAGTGTAAGGAACCCTCTCTCTCACTCCCTGAGTCTATTACATAATCCGAGTCAATTCAGATACCTAACAGTACATGTTTCAACAATTAGCAAAAGCAACACAACTATTTTTTCCAAGGAAATATGTCTACCTTTTGCACCACCATAATTAATGACAGGTGTACGGAACTCTATTACATCACCCCGAGTTAATATCAGTAATTGATTATTTGTATCAGTTCACAATGGTGCACATGTCTTGGATTAGAAATCAACTGCACAGTACCAACACAAGTGGACAGCTAAGTACTACCAGTCAACACAGAGATGCATGCAGCTACAGCAGCCTTACCTTGCCCACCCGCAGAGGAGCCCGGAACTCCAGCCCTCCCTGCAGCGTGAAACCCCACGGCCTCCCTCCCTCCACCACCACAGAGAAACTGCTCTCGTCCATATCTCTCTCGCTCTTTTCACTCTCTAACACCAAATGTGTATGATCACTTGTAGGTCTGAAAGGAAATAAATGAGCATGGTACCATAGTTAAAACTTTTCGCAGTCAGTTTGCTATCTATGCACAAACTTAGACATGTCCAAGTACTCCGCAATTTGAACTATAATAGTATGTATAGACATTGATGCTTTGCTCAGATTATCAAGGCCAGGTCCACCTTTCTTTATGTTTGCATAAGGTCCAATCAACACCTCAGGTGCGAATTTGCAGTTAGTCTAGGAGCGAGTGCGCAGCTCCGCTTACCAAGTCGCCGTCCGTCAGCGTCAGAACACAGTCTTCGGACGATGTGGACACTGGTTCCGGTGCGATCTGCACCTCCACCGAAGTCTTCTAAGCTGCTGCGTTTACCAAAGTAGCTTACTGCCTTGCTGGCGGTTCGGTTGAGGGCTCACGGTCTTATTCTGCAGTCTCTCTTTTTATGCTTTTCCCCTTTTCTAAGAGTTGTGTGCCTGCTTAGCAGGAGGAACTCACTGGTGATGCGCCGGATGGCAGTTGTTAGTTTATACACTCTTATTCATGTAGTGGAGGACGACACGAGACGACACAGCTGAGGAATGCAGTCTGGAATGTAAGCTGGAATGTATGGAATCCCCTTCGTGGCGCGGGCGCGCCTGGTGCAGTGACCGCGTCAACGCATGCGCGTAGTACTAGAATTAACGCATGCTATGCGTGAATAATTAAATTTTACGTATGCAAGCTAGTATGCTATATATAAACATGTTTTTTCATGCATGCATAATTTTGTATGTACATAAGCAAACTTCACATATTAACGATTTCCTTTTCTAAAAGATAACAGCAAACAACAGCACCCAATGTAAACATAAATAAGGTTCCAGTTTTAGTTAGTCGATTATTACGACTTTAGACAAGTCATGGTTGCGTCTCGGTGTGTCTGGTGTTGTGTAGCTCTGTCAGTGCTGGCAGTGTCAGTGATGGCTAGCAACAACAGCTGTCCCACCTGGTTCTACTTCAGTAACACCACTCAGAGGTGTGAGTGTGGAGAGTTTCAAGCTGGTTGGGTCGTCTGTGACCAACAGTCTATGACAGTTCAGCTAAACAGAGAATTTTGTGCCACCTACTCTGGACAAGAGGGTCTTTTCTACATCGGCCACTGTCCACTCAACTACAAGTTCAACAACACCAACAGAATGTTCTCGGAACTGCCCACTGATCCAGACCTACTGCAGGACATGATGTGTGGTAGCTACAACAGAAAGGGTCTTCTGTGTGGACAGTGTGTTAACGGATATGGTCCCGGGGTGTACACACTCGACAGTCAATGTGCAGACTGTTCAAAGTTATCTACATTATCAGCAGTCCTCCTGTATCTGCTGGTGGACATAGTTCCCATCACACTCTTCTTTGTCTGTGTGGTTCTCTTCCGCCTCAACATCACTGCTGGTCCTCTGCTGGGGTATGTCATCTTCTGTCAAGATTTTTCAGTGTCTCTGGAGTTCGATCCAACCGTCTTCGATTACGTCAAGTCCAGTTTGTCACCGTTTCTTGCAACGGGTCTTCAGGTAATGTTGATAACTTTTGAGTTTTGGAACATCAATATCTTAAAGCCCATTATCCCTCCGTTTTGTGTCAGTGAGAAGCTCACAGGATTACACATTCAAGTAATCCGCTCATTTTCGGCAGTTTATCCAATAATTCTTGTAATATTCTCACTATTGATAATTCAATTGCATGCCAAGAACAACACAGTCACAAAAATCATTTTGAAGCCTTTCATCTTCATTTTCAAGAAGGCAAATACCACAGCTGTTACCAGTGATGCTGTCATTCGTGCCTTTGCGACTTTCATTTTTCTCTCATCCATTAAAAACATGTTTGCTTTGTATGCCATAATTAGAAGCACCAAAGTGCATACGAGCATCGATGGATCCGTGTACAAATCAGTTTTGTATGTTGACCCTACCACTGAATTCTTCAGTCCCACACATATCATTTTCCTTCTCATACCATTGATGCAGTGCCTTTTTCTTGTGTTCATTCCGTGTGTACTGCTCGTCATATACCCCACGAGGGTTTACAGGTGGATTTCCGGGTGTTTAAGTGCCAGGAAGAGGCTGGCCATAACAGCATTTGTTGAACCTCTCAACAGTTGTTTGAAAGATGGTCTGGACGGTACTAGAGACTATAGGGCGTTTGCTGGGGTGCTGTTGTTTGGACCTCCCTTATTTAGTATCTGGGTTTTGATCATAGAGTTTGTCATTGATGACGAGTACAACATGAACATACTTTTCTGTTACATTTCCTCATTTTTATCGTTATTTGTATCATTTGCAAGACCGTTTAAGTCAACCATTGCCAACATGTCAGCTAGTTATTATTTCATTGTGTTTGGAGCACTGGCAAATATTGTGGCTTATCTCTGGTACAGCCAGTTGTCCGTCTCAACTCTGGCACTGGAAGTTGCCTTCTCTGCCATTGGTTTTGCTGCACAAGCCCCAGTAGTAGTCTGGGTTGTATATAAATTTGGCTGCTATGTTCTAAGGAAGGCATTCAGGAACAGTTCATAATACTCTGAAGCAACACATGCAGTTTTGTAAGTGATTTTGTAAGACTGGACAACTTAAAGAGTATCAAGTTTACCTTCGACTGTATACCATTTTCTCTGTATTTTTCATGCTTCTTTTAATTGCCACTCATTACAGAGATTGGCAATAACTGTTTAATGATCTAATTATTATTATAAGGTGTTTTTACATGGCCTTTTGAGAAAATGTAATGCATGCAGTCTGACAGTAAAAAAACCCACCATAAGTGCTGAGCACTCTCAACAATGCCCATACAACTGCTGCAGAATCTGTACGCAGCTGATTCAAATTTCTTCTCTTATCAGAGCCGGTTTAACCCCGAATTACACATTAATATTCTGCATATTGGAGCCATGATTGATAGTATATTGTATCACACAGGCTACATTCATATTCTCTGCTCAATAATGTACGATTATAGATGCATCATTATTATTATAATTTGTACACAAACATACTCAACGATAAAAATAAAAGGTTTGATTGGTTGAAGAATGTAGGGTGTTCAGAAAGAGGGTGTGGCAGTCTGGGCGATTGTGGGTGTGGCTATCTTGGATTGTTCTCCTGTTGTGGAAGGTAGGGATAGAATACATGGTAAGGTTGATTGAGGACCTTCTAAATAGAGGACACCTCTTATAAAGAGGCTAAGTATCCACTGATAAGGGAACAAAGCGATGTCCCCACCCAAGGTGTCCACTTTATTCAGAGGTTACGTAACAGTTGACTCACAAGCCTCCATCTGAGGAAGGTGACCCAGTCCTCAGCCTCCGCCTCAGTCGTGGCTATCATGTAGAACGCCCGATACGGCAACACCAGTCTGTAATAGTCAGTCCAGTCCGGAGTAGTGTTGACATGAACATAAAGAGAGAGGAGGGAGGGAGCATTACAAACAAGCAAAATGTAGCTAACTTCCCTCCCCTTCACTTATCTCTGTCTGTATAGAACCTTACTAAAAATAAGGACTTGTAGCTAAAACATCAGTGAAGGTGAGTGTGGCAGTTTTACGTAAAACATAAGGGCATGCAAGAAGTATGTGAGAGAGAGAGAGAGAGGACCTGAAGCAGTTAGGTTTTCCCATGGTGTCATCTCTCCCCACTGCAGTCGCCTCCTCGAGATTTATGACCCGCAGCGGACTCTGCGGAGACAGTTAACAACATCACCTCTAATACCTCAGACTAAAGTTTTGGGCACAGTTGCCAAACTGAACATATCACAGAGAAAATTCTCAAGCACACTATGACACCACATATATTGTGAAACCTGTGAAAGTATGAGTTTTTCTTTCGGTATATTGGACTTTAGAGTAGGCAGAAAAAAACTTTCATTAAGTTAGCTGATGCTGTTACAATGAATAATGTCCACACATGAACTTCATGACCATTTGCCGACAACATACACATGTAACAATAGACCATGTGATGCCAAGAGAAAAAAGATGCGGAGCTCTGGACAGCTGTTTCGGGCCTATTAGCCCTCATCAGCAAAGCATACCGCAACTTCTCTCTCTGGCATCACGAGTTTATAAAGGCAGAGTTGAGCGCAGCACTTGTGGTTTTTGAAACTAATGAGATTCATCCCCACAAGGCTTTGCTCAGGCGCAGCACTTGCGGTTCTGAACTAATGAGATTCATCCCCACAAGGCTTTGCTCAGGCGCAGCACTTGTGGTTTTGAACTAATGAGATTCATTCCCCACAAGGCTTTGCTAGGCGCAGCACTTGTTGTTTCGGGCTTATTAGCCCTATCAGCAAGCATCCGCAATTCTCTCTCTGGCATCACGGTTTATAAGGCAGAGTTGAGCGCAGCACTTGTGGTTTTGAACTAATGAGATTCATCCCCACAAGGCTTTGCTCAGGCGCAGCACTTGCGGTTCTGAACTAATGAGATTCATCCCCACAAGGCGTTGCCAGTACGAGCCAAAACCCGAATTCAGCATGATGACATAGTGGATTGGGCCGCGGCAATGAAGCCAGCAAGCACCCATATCCTGCCAGCGCATACACATGTAACAATAGACCATGTGATGCCAAGAGAAAAAAGATGGGGAGCTCTGGACAGCTGTTTCGGGCTTGTTAGCCCTCATCAGCAACATGTACATGCTCTAATCTGACTGTATAATGAATGGTAACTTGACTAGAACGAATTTTTGGTATATTTTTGGTGAGCGAGAGAGAGCATTTCTTTTTTCGTGCACAGAATGACGTTCAATATTTTCGCGTGTAATTAGAATCACGTAGAACATTACGGTCTTTTCAGCGGCAGTGCGGGTCACAACATGAAAAAAATTCGACGTTTCGCCAACCAGCAAACCAGACCTTGTCGTCTTTAGTGTTGAAATACTTTAGTTCATTTCTGACGAGAGTAAACCATCGAATCTTCCAGTTCTTCCTGTGGTAGCCCAGTTTTGTCAGGAATCCCTCTTTGGAGTTCACCTGCCCAGTGAGAGAGAGAGAGAGAGAGAGAGAGAGAGACCGCACTCGTTATTAATAGGCCATTGTGAGAATGCATGCCGATTTTCCGTTACTCCATTGCGCAATTCTTTGTGTACCATTTTGTAGCTCTTCAATCTCCCTTTCTTTTGGTCTTGGTTTGGTACAAACCGAACGCATAGTTTGTGTGTGACATTTAAAAAAAAAACCCTCCTTTCCAATGTATGGCAAAGTGCATTCTCAACTTGAAAAAACTTTCTGTGTAAACATGAACCTTGGAACAAGCATAAATTACTTTGTATACCTTATCTCCCAGCACTTAGATCAAGACACCTAATTTGTGCCTTACAATGGCTGTGTATTAGCTGCGTACATAGGACCCTTATTGTTTCTTATACCTCACGTAAGGAAAGAGAGAGCGTGTGGGAGAGACTTACCGAGAGGGAAGGAGAGGAGAGAAGTTCAATTGTTGCCTCCATCATGCCAGAGATTTCGTGTGCATCCTGATAGTCGTGAGGTTCAACCACTCCTCGCGGGTAGGGGTGGGCCAGCTTCACCAACACTCCTGGGCCGAGGGGAAGAGGGGAGAGAGGAATCGACAGAAACGCAGAAAACCCTCTGTATTAACGAAAAGCACTAATGTGCAGAGCCTCGGCGCAGAAGGCTCGCGTTGTAGCATTGATGCAGCTAAGCTGTAGCACTAAATGTATAGAAAATTGGCCGGTTGAAACGACTACATAGGTGGGCCTGCTTCACTCATCAGCGACCTACCACAGTCTCCACTGATCATTGGCTGCTGAGAGAAGTGGTTCTCCAGGCTGATGACGTCAGGGAATTTCCCCAGACCGAAACAGAAGTGTCGACCGTCCCAGTGAACTCTGTAGTGGCGGAGGGCTGCTCTACACCTGGGGGAACAGGGAGGGAGAGTATGGGTAGACTTGATGGAGCACTGTTCCGTATGGTGAGTAGACAAAATGTCTTATTTACGGTGGCCCAGTTGTGTACTTAATAGCTTCGCATTTACAGTTTACAGCTTTGTTTTTCGCTCTCATTTTTTCAAGCTTCCAAGCCCTTCAGCTTCCAGTGTTTCAAGCTTTGCGCCTCCAGCTTCCAGTTTTTCAGCTCAACTTCCAGCCTCTCGTTTTTATAAAGCCACCGTACTTACATATTCCCCTCTCTCTCTCTCTCTCTCTTCCTCACTCATTGACTCCCGCCCTCCCTGCTAACTCCGGACCTTACCTGACAGAGAGAGTGAGTGATTCGTCAGAGTTGGAGCTGTTTCTGAGGAGAAAAGTGCCACTCAAAATGTCAGTGTGCATCAAAAGACTCTCTGCTATATGGCGAGATATGGATGGGTGGTACCAACTGTAGTGTGTGTGTGTGTGTGGGGGGGGGATAAAGATAAGACCATTGCTATATATATATCTGAAAGGACAACAGAAGTGGCAAACAGAACATCAACACACATTGTACTGTATTATTCATACACTTCATAATGCAAAGCCAATGAATGTTATTTCAGACGCCAAAAGTACAAAGACTACTCATATCTCACATGTAAGAGCACCATAACACTGCTAACTCCAGAGTCAGTATACAATAATACTAGAGGAATGCAGCACATTGGCGAGCTAGCGCAAGCAGTTCAATATTCACGTTTAGTGGCTGTTGTGATTTAGAATCAGTAGCATGTGTGGCATCGTCGGAAAGAAAGAAATGGAAAATCTGCCCCGTTGAAACAACTACAGGTAGGGTACAGCTTCACTCGCCAATGACTAATGAGAGTACTGACAATCAATGGCCCATGACTATATAGGGCTCAGGTGTACATTCTACCATCTCGTCTGAATTGTAGTATGTGCTGTCTATACCATTAAAACCTTATTCCGAATAATGCACACATTTTGCACTTGTGTGTTCGCTCGCCCATATTTTGTCCAATTTATTCAAGAATAGCCGCAGTGTAACAGTGTGTGTGTGTGTGTGTGCGTGAGTAGCAGTCATTACCAGGATCAGGGTTCTGTTGATTGACAACAAAGCCACAGAAATCAACAACTCGTGTGTTCATAAGGACATGAGAACACAAGCGTAACTTGTAATCCAACCAGCTACAGTCACAATAAGCTACAGACGCTCACTCCGAATGTGAATAATAGTTCTCCAAATCCCTCTCTCACAAAATTCATATGTAACCTCTGACCTCCTACAACATACTGCATAATTGCAAATTCGTGGTCAATAAGTGTACTCTCTAAGGCATGTGTGTGTGGCATAGAGTCTGAGTTTGATAGGCCATGTTACTCTAGTGATTGTAAAGTTGTAAACAAGTATTAAGGGGACTGCAACCCCAATAGACCCAGCAGACAGAAGCCACTAAGCTATGTCAACAGCCGCTATAGGAAGTCACTTGTATCCCAGCAGGTATAAGAGCCTATTCTTGAGAGTTACGTAATCCACACTTTGAAGCCATGCATTGCATTCACACGAGGGGGGATATCCTACTGAATGATTTAGCGTGTCCAGGAGAAAGCAGAAAATTGTCACTTAGCTGAAATAAATCATCACAGTGCCATTCAAAGACCTTACATACACAAAACACACTGAGATTGATTCACCTACACATGGATAATGGAGCCACGTGTGTATGCATATCACCTGTAAAAACATGTAACGCAACACAAACACAACACCTGCTCCAATGTAATGTAAAGCAGCCTCCAGATACTAGACAATATGGCTGCTTACGTTCTTCATAGAGACTTGTGTCGTTATATATAGAGTCAACTAAAGCACCTTATACATGTGTAGCTCCTCCGGTACAATTGATACAGACTGGACTAAAATTGCACTTTCTCAGCCAAGGAAAAAAACTCTCGCTAGCTTAGACAAATAAACTCCCACCACGACTCACGGTATACTGTCCACGCTAGGCATGGGCGCCTTCCCCAGTCTCTTGGCGTTCAAGAGTCTTCGTTCGAACTCTCCCAGGGCTGGCTCCGTCGCCCTCTCGCCTTCGCCCCTCACTCGTCTATCTTTTCCGTCAGACCTCGGGCACGGTGCGTACCTCACGGACACGTCCGTCTTGCTGCTCCGCAGTGCTGCGCCCCGCACCGGAGGCGGTGGACGCCAGGGGGCCGGAGCGGGAGGGGGAGAGACGCGCCCGTCCGGAGACTCGAGGGTAAAGTCAGAATCCCTGTGAAGAGTGGACACCCGTTTCCCCTTCCCCTGCTCTCGCTCCTGCCTCTCCCTCGCCCGCCGCTCTATCTCCAGCCCTGCTTCCATCTCCTCGAACCTGCTTCTTCTCGCAGAAACAGCCATTCTCTTGACTGTGTTTGGACGACCCAAGAGGCTGGCCCCGCCTCCCTTCGTCACCGTCCGCACCGCGCATGCTCAGTTCCTACTCACTGCGCATGCGCGCTATCCAAGCACCAGCGCAGCTACAGAGCAAGGGCTAGACAAATAATTATGAGGAAGCTCGTTGTACATTCAAGGTTGATAAATAGCTATGCTTCACATGAACTTGGGTACCAATGGAAGGTAGAATCACAGTTTTCGGGTCGTATATAGCACTTTCCTATGCGTCTCGGGAAAAATCGAATTCTGGAGCTTTGAAACCCTGTTTCCTCGTTGATTCGGTGGGTCAAATTAATTATTATCAAAGAATACCAGGAATCTTGTAGGGAAGCTACCTCTGGCTTTACCGGCAGGTGAATTTTTTTTACACAATCTCATTCGTTCCACAGGAACTCCCAATTTTTTACAAAAGATATTGGAAGCTGGCACAAGGCATGACACTATGTGTTCTGCTCATAACATGCCAGGTAATAATAAAAAACCCTTACAATAGGTGTATAGTTTACCATGCCAAGACATAATCACGAGCAAGGGAAAAGCAATTATCAGTCAAAGGGACCTCGGGGAAGTAACAACCCTCATTTTATGCATATTTTCACAGAATATATGTTGGCTGGCCCTTTGTCAGAATTATACGAAATGTAGAAAAGCCATCTATTAATTATCGTCAATAAGAATACCAAGAATCTGGTGGGGTGGCTACAGAATACACAATCTGTCGTTGATTAGTATACAATGCTGGAGCAGAGCCAAATGCAGAGTTACTGGTCAAGAAGACAGGAACCTTTTGAGGATTAAAAATCAAAACACCCACAAAGCTATAGCCTTAACTAGCATAACAGGGAGGTGGCCTCACTAATCAAAAGGTATTCTAGTTAGCATATATACTAGCTACCACAACTAAACTATATACGATTACATGATGATCCAACATGTTGCAAGCACGGGCTTAATTCCTGATTATGAATGTTTAATCATAAGATCTACCCACTGGAGTTCAGAGATGTCTAGGAGTGGGGCCAGGAACTTGGAACTGCACCAAAAAGTGCGCGGAGTTCAGACCACTTAGGTTAGCTCTCTCCCACTCACCAACAACTTTTACTGGATAAGAGCCAAATGCAGTGTGACTGATCTAGAATTGACGATCACAGCACCCAAAAATCTATGTAGCCTTTTGACCTGGACCTTTACTAATGACACCAAAGCCATGGTCGGGCGGGATTGGATTTTTGTTATAGTTGTAGGAGGATGAAAGCCAGTCTACCAATCATTAGTCAAAGAAATATTTCAGACTATTGCTGGAGGAGAGCCAAATGTAGCTGCATGTAGAGGTTTGATGTCTGGCCAAGATAATAGTGGGAAACTACATTTGAAACACTAAAAGCTCAAAACAGGGAGGTGCATGCCTTACTAATCAAAAGGCAATCTATCAATTAGTGTAGTCTGTAATATACTACCAAACAGACTATCATTATAGGTTTATGGAGCATGTACGACTCATAGGTAGATACAGTGGGGTTTCTATGTATGCACCTCATGCGGTGGTTGCAAGGCTATAAAAGAGATGCGAAGAACTGAGTGAATAGCATCAGGATTTCTCCTGCAAACAGCAACAATGGTTTCTCTTCGCCTCATCTCTGCAATGGTGCTGGCCTACTGCACCATAGTCACAGCCAACCCGGCAAGTGATGCCTGGTTCACGAAGGAAATCAATGAGCTTATGGAAGCAAAGGAGCAAATGGACGAGCTGATCAATGACGGAGAGCCAAGGACGGAGGAATACGAGGGAGAGGAAATAGAAACTCCCTGGGTGGAAGAGGAACTCGAAAACGATGCTTTTACAGAGGCAACTGATTTTAATGAGCTGGTGTCATCAATGGCAAAACCGAAAGTTTGTGTGGAGAAGAAGAAGGAGAAGGAATGCGATCGTAAGCTTCTCATAAGGATCACTGAACCGTGAAGGAATTTTGTGCAAAAGTTGGAAAATTAGTGATAGAGATAGAAGAATCACTAGAAGGCTCATCCACAGGGGATGGCTCACGAGAGAACCCAGGAGACTCTTGCAAGAGCATCAAGGACGCCTACCCTAGTTTTGAGTCAGGTACGTACTGGCTCCGGGGAATCAATGGTCCTGTCGAAGTTCACTGTGATATGGGAAGTAATGTCTGTGGTGGGCAGTCTGGAGGCTGGATGAGAATAGCCGATGTTGACATGACCCAATCCGATGACTGTCCGTCTCCTTTAAACGAAATAGTGGTGGGCGGAAAAGCATTATGTGGAACAATCAACAAAAACCCTGGATGCTCTTCATCCACATATTTTGTAACACACGGTATTCAGTACACTCGAATCTGTGGTAGGATCAGGGGATACCAGGAAGGTAGCACCGATGCTTTCGGAACACCAATCGTGGCGAATAAGGGCAAAAGAGGAGTGAGCATTAAATCATGCATACGTGGATGGAATCAGCTTAACACATGGATACACCCGCGAACACATCTGGACCTTTGCTTCTGCTCTCAACGACCTATCAGAGGGATTTACATTTGCTCAGTGCCCCTGTGTGCGACCATTTAGCAAAAACGCGAGACAACCTCAAGTGCCCAATTTCGTTGAAAAAAACCTGTTCTGTGACACAGCCAACCAGAACCCGGGAAAAGAAAGAAACATACCGAAAGGAGATTTAGCTTTCATGCGTAATCCTCTGTGGGACGGGAAGGGTTGTAGCCCCCAGAACGGTTGCTGCAACCAGGCAGGCTTGCCGTGGTTCTCCCGATCGTTCGAATCGCCAACTTGCGACGACGTGGAGATGAGGGTGTGCAATGACGAGGGAACCAAAAATGAAAACGTTTTGATTGATCAAATTGAGCTCTACGTTCAGTGATCGGTTTGCAGTGCTTTGGGACAACACTTTAGTAGTAGCATTAGTATCAGAACGAGAAAGACTCAAGTATATAGAAATCATATTATTTGGGACAGAACTCAGGCTGCTGTGTCATTAGCATGCATTGACCTGTTTTAGTCATGCATTCCCATGCTGTCAATAGTTAGTATTATTTTGCTCCACACTGAGTTTTCTTGCGTACCATGCAACCGTTGGGTAGCTATTAGAGTGCTGTCATGCACATGACAGATTTTCGTGCAAGTGTGGGTGGTTAAAGATTCAATGTTCTTGAAGAGTTTGAAAATGTTGCTTTGAAGTGGAGTTGAACTATAAGTGGAGTGCATGAGATACAAATTTGAAACTGTAGATCAGATTATTGAGTGGTCTATTGAAACCATGAACCATTGACACACATGATAGCTACAAAATAACAAAACAAAACGAAAAGCAGGTGGGTACATTAATACAGGTGTCTGTCTTGCCTGATCCACCACTGCCATCCCACCGGTCCAGGAGGTCCAAGAGCAACAGTCGGACGACGAGCGAGCTGGGCTGCTTATTTGTGCATATTCGATATCGCAACACGGCGCGCGCAGACTAGCCGCTCACTTTGGAATGTGTATCCCCCCAGCTACTTTGTGGGAAATTATGTATGGCTTTTGTCGACGCGCGCACCGTTATGCACGCGGACTAGACGGTTTCAACGGACCAAAACTAAGGAATGTAACGCACGAATCATACCTAAACATGTTGGTCCGTGGGTTCATTCACCGTTACAGAAAATTCCGCATTCAGACTTCCAGATGGGGCTCACTTCGCTCGCCGACAAGTTCAGCCAAATTCTGTGGCTGCAATGAGTGTTCACGATACAGCCCAGCCCGCCCACCGTATCGATCCAGTTTTGTTTCTCACTAGTAGTTAGGCAGTGGAGCCATTGCTTCAACAGTCTCAGGTTGCTGCAGTACATTGTGGAGCCACTCGGTCTGAACGATGCGGAAATAAAACACTTAGACATCCGTGGACCGAGTGTCTGAGAATGCACCTTGAAAATCTAGAATAACTTCCGATTCCAGCACCGTATGCGGCCACGCTTGGTATCTAAATGTAGCGCTTCACACTCCGTTTCTTTCAGCGCTTACCTCGTTCAAATCCACTGTCGCTATACGCACGTTATGCATAATCTCTACGCACACTTTACATGCGGCGAGAATATATTATCATAATATACCGCCCTCCTCATTATCCACTTCCGCATGAATTCTCAGCGCTAACGTACTTTAGCTATGTGTTTATCCACCTAGCTCTTTACGCATGATCTTTCAGAGTCTGAAACCAATTCATTGCGAGCATGTAACTGCTATTCAATACAGGCCAACACAATTTGAAACAAACTAACTGAACTACTGAATACATGCCAATTGAGTCATTCTCGTTCTACGGCAAATTGTACAAATTCCAAATCACTGAACGTAGAGCTCGACTTGCTCCAGCCAGACGTTTTCATTTTTGGTTCCCTCGTCATTGCACACCCTCATCTCCACGTCGTCGCAAGTTGGAGAATCAAGAGATCGGGAGAACCACGGAAAACCGCCCTCAGTGCAGCACTGGTTTCGCGAGGAACAGCCTTCGCCACCCCACACATCATTATTCAGGAACTGTGTATTATCCTTTGGTATATTTTGATCCAGGTTGGCAGTGTTGCAGACGAAGTTTCTCCCAACAAAATTAGGCACTCGAGGTGCCCTCTGTCCGAATGTTCGCATGCATGGACACTGAGTAAACGTGAATCCCGTTGTCTTGTCATTGAGGGCAGAAGCAAAGGTGAAGATGTGAGAGCGGGGGTTTCCATGCGTTAAGCTGATTCCGTCAACGTACGGTTGATTAATGCTCACTCCTCGTACTCCATTTTTCTTGGGGTCTGGTGATGCAAAAGCATCGGTGCTACCTTTCTGGAATGCTCTGATCCTGCCGCACACCCGAGAGTACTGAATACCGTATGTATCAAATGTGGATGCTCCGGAGCATCCTCCTCTTGAACCGATTCTTGTTTCACACAATTGCTTTCCACTCACTCGTTTTAAAGGAGATGGACACCGTTCGTTGGATTGGGTCATGTCGAAATCGGCTATCCTCATCCAGCCTCCAGACTCCTCATCACAGACATTGTCTCCCATTTCGCAGTGAACTTCAACATCGCCTCCACTTCCCTTTAGGAAGTAGGTACCCGACACAGCATTTGGATTTAACCGCAGTATCTGCTTGCACGAGAGAGCCGGATTTTCGCTTGTACCTATCTTTGTCACCTCCTCGATCTTGGTTTGTATTTTTTTGAAGTACTCTGTGAGTGTTTCTCTTATCCTTGTAATGATTTTTATGAGAACGTCATCACATTCAGCAGGAGGGCAAGTCTCTGGTGGGGATGTCTGTGACAGTACCATTGAGTCCAACAGCTCATTCATGTCATTTGTTTCTGAATACTCTTCCTCTTCCACCCAGGGAGTTTCTATTTCCTCTTTCTCGTATTCCACCGGCATTGGCTCTCCGTCATTGATCAGCTCGTCCATTTGCTCCTTTGCTTCCATTAGCTCATTGATTTCCTTCGTGAACCAGGCATCACTTGCCGGATTGGCTGTGACTATGGTGCAGTAGGCCAGCACCATTGCAGAGATGAGGCGAAGAGAAACCATTGTTGCTGTTTGCAGGAGAAATCCTGATGCTATTCACTCAGTTCTTCGCATCTCTTTTATAGCCTTGTAACCACCGCATGAGGTGCATACATAGAAACCCCACTGTATCTACCTATATGAGTCGTACATGCTCCATAAACCTATACGGATAGTCTGTTTGGTAGTATAATTATTACAGACTACACTATTATTGATAGATTGCCTTTTCATTAGTAAGGCATGCACCTCCCTGTTTTGAGCTTTTAGTTGTGTGGGAGTGGTTCAAATGTAGTTTCCCACTATTATCTTGGCCAGACATCAAACCTCTACATGCAGCTACATTTGGCTCTCCTCCAGCAATAGTCTGAAATATTTCTTTGACTAATGATTGGTAGACTGGCTTTAATCCTCCTACAGCTATAACAAAAATCCAATCCCGCCCGACCATGGCTTTGGTGTCATTAGTAAAGGTCCAGGTCAAAAGGCTACATAGATTTTTGGGTGCTGTGATCGTCAATTCTTTAGATTCCTATAATCTAGATCAGTCACACCGCATTTGCCTCTTATCCAGTAAAAGTTATGGTGAGTGGAAGAGAGCTAATCTCAGTGGTCTGAACTCCGCGCACTTTTTGGTGCAGTTCCAAGTTCCTGGCCCCACTCCTAGATCTCTCTGAACTCTATATTATAGTCTAAGGAATATAAGGATGCTCAAAAGTAAAACAGCAGAGCTAGGCTCCCGCTCGCCAATTATGTAGATACAGTCCACGTGCAGCTGCTGGGTTTATGTGTGTGCCATGTGTTATGTATAGGTTATACGATGGCGGCGCGTGGTCTACTGGTTGTACACGAGTGGCCAGTTTTGATAGGGCATGAGGGCGTAGCCCGAGTGGTCTATCAAAACTGAAGCCACGAGTGTGCAATCAGTAGACCACAAGCCAATGCCATCGTATAACGTGTTTGTATGATGACATCCGGCGGTAAGACTCTGACCAATGAGATTGCGCAAAAGCGTTCAAAACGCCCTCTTTTTAACGCACACCCTCGAGTGTACGTGTACGGAGAGCTAGAGCTAGAGAGCTATAGCGATCGAGGAGAGAGACAGCTGCAACAAGCGCTTTAGTTTGGTCAAGCTGGGCGGTTGTGCAGAAGCCATGGTCATTTCTCGAGAGTTCAACGTTACAGGTAGGTCAAAGCTATACTTTTTCGCTGCTAGACTCCACACGAGTTTTGTAGCTGCCGCTCTGGCTCGCTTTCTCTCCCGCTATACCCAGAGCTCCCTAGAATGCAGCCTGTTGCAGTAGCAAGAAAGCTGAAAGTCACCGAATACTGTTCCAGTCCACGGGAGCGTACGCGTCTGGAAGCTTTCGCTAGTTTTCAGACCGCGTATATCTATACTAGAGCAGTTTCTGGCCATTCTAGCCTGAAAACACTCCCAGAAACAGCAGCACACAGAGTGTAAAAGCCCCCAATTGCATTCCACGCTGCCAATTTCCTACTATCGTCTAACTCCTGTAGACCCACTGTGGTTTATGCAAATGAGTTGACATACAGCTAAAGTATGGGGAAATTGTATGGCCTCTTTATGTTCTAACTACCCGTAGACTGAGCCGGAAGCGCTCACTACGCATCTACGTTGTTTGGACTAGCTGGAATTCCTTTGATCTTACTCTCAGTCATCATACAAATACATAATAATAGTATTCAGTTCCCTGCCATGTTGGTGGATTACAGCACTTGTAGTTGGACTTCTCTGGGAACGAGACTCATGTCATGAGTAAGAGTGGCGACAATATAGGGCTTGTGTGGAGTAAAATTTACATGAGCAAGAAATGTCAGTTTGAAGATGTAAGATGTAACAATCATCCCATTGTACTACTGCATCACATGCCCAGGTCATCCCTGTCTTGTCTCCTTGCTTTTTATGGCAACCCTATATTCCACACTTCCTTTAATTCGCAGAATTTTCTATTTTACTGGTATTGCATGTAGCTAAGCGGTCGTAAGTGCTGGCACATATAGCTTTTTGGCAAGTGCAGCTCTCCTGTCTATTAAACGTGCTGGATGGACTAATAATTGCCTCCTTATTAACCCTCGGCGCGCATGCGCAGCGAGGGTTACGGTAGTTGGTTTGTCTGTCTGTCTGTCTGTCTGTGTCGACGCTTATTCTGGCACTACAGGCTACGGGGTGGCGAATGAGCGATACCAACGGCTTCATAACTACCCGAACCTGAAACATTATTAGGCGATTTCCCTGAAACGACTCCGTTCGAGAGATATGCCGTGAAAACAAGCGAAAAAGCCAATTGCATATTAGCACAGACCGCGACCTGATCCGCTCGCTCCTGTGTACCTTGGTGGCTCAGGAAGTCACAACGAATGGCGTGTATCGACTCCCGCATGCTATCTACTACTGTAGCTAGCCAGTGTCAGACTCTCCGCGAGCTATATACTAGCGGGAGACCACGGAGTAAACGCATGAATAGCCCAGCAGTATCGCGCGCATGCGCATATCGCCGAGGGTTTGCACTTTAGAAAGGCTCCCCCCTTGTATTTGTGCTATTAGCTCCAGGTGTGCTTTTTTGGCAAGCCCTCACTGAGTCCAACTACCCCAGCAGAGATAATGTAGCTAGTATAGCCATAATAATAATAATTATAATACTTAGGTATACTGAGTAGGAGACCATGACAAATCTTTGACTAATAATGGATCCCAGGCCAGTGGCCAGACCAACAATGCCCTACCCCACGCTACTCACAGTCACTAATAATGTTCTCAATCTTCCCTAACTATGAAAAATGTCCATGTCCATACCACTATAATAATATATAATCTGAACAAAGGAGTGGATGGGCTATCTGCTTACAAATGCGGACCCCCACCTCCCTCTGTATAGCCGAGAGTATGCCACAACAATCTATTACCGAGGCCAGCTCCCTGTAAACAATCATGAGTGCGGCACGGGGTGCGTGACTGCGTGCGTGCACAGAACTTCTATCTCCCTAATGCAGAGACACGTTTGGCTCTTCTGCTAGAATTTTGGGTGCAAAGCGAGACTAGATACCCATGATGATCGTCTGAATCTCCCGCCGGGTGTTCCATAGGGGCGCGGGGGTCCGCAATTGTTTGTGATCCAGCGTGTAGTCAAGCCATACGTAGGACTCCAATAGTCCTTAGCTGCCAGCGCTTTATTATGCTAGCTACAGGGTACAATTGGTCAAGAATCACCGTTCAGACGCGGCTGATGATTTCGCGCAGGTAAAAGAAGTCGCGATGTATAGCGTGTTTTTTCAGTGTCAAGTGCCTGGTTTTTCTGCCATGTCAAGCGTGCGCGCGTTTATGCTGTTT